TTGGCTTGGAATGAACTAATAAATTAGTGTTGATAAGGAGTAAATTCTGTCCGAATTTTGGGGTGTATTTTCAAGGATTTTAGATCCATTTCTAGGTGAAACTTAAAGCATAAAAGTTGTTCATCTATATTTCAACTAAATTCATTTAAAATTTATTGGTCATTGGATTTGTGTACAAAGATTTACACCCGATTTAGTATGGATAGCTCTAGATAAACTACTATTAGGCAGATTGCTCCCTAAGTTTCAAAAATTTATAATTAATTATGTACTTGGTATTTAGACCTAATTTTTGGATATGTTATAAATAAATATGTCTAGTATCTAAAATAAAATGAGTAAGATTTAATTATGTTCTGAAATTAGAAAATTATTTACTCGATTAGGAGTTACCCGGTAATAAACCCTAAAACCAAAAAAATTAGACTTTGACAAAATTAATAGGTTTGGAATAAACTAAATGAGCTTGGACTAAATAAAATGGAATTAAATAGAGTCAATGGACTTAGGATAAAGTTAATGGGCTCGGATTAAAGTAAATGAACTTGGACCTTCTTTTAAATATTAACAAAACTAATTAACAATATTAATGAGCGGAGGTTGTGTTCCCGCTATGAGTATCATGATTAGTATGTGAACAACGGGTAAATTTTGAGTGTGGGTTGGACCATGAGTATGGCATGAGAATGAACGGTTGGTACCCAAATTTGGTTGAATGTGATTAAATATGTCATCACGTGCATCATGTGCATAGTGGGTGGTTTAAGACAAGTCAATTGATTGAGAAATGGTTTATACATCTAGGTTTGATAACCTAATTGGAATAAATGGGTATTAATAGTCCAAGTACTCTAGGATATGTGCCTGCACTATTAGACGATGGATTTCCGCTAATAGTAGTTGCAACGAGGGATAATTCCGTTGTAGCAGAAGATGATCCGAGGATCATCTGGATGAAATCAAGCTATATGCTTGCATTGTTAGACGATGGATTCCCGCTAACAGTAGTTACAACGAGGGATAATTCCGTTGTAGCAGAAGGTGATCTACGGATCACCCGGATGATAAATAGAGTAGATCGGCTAATACCCGGGGTACTCGAGATTAAAATTTATGAGTATGATGAGAAGTCAAAACAACATTACATATCACGTGCATCACCCCGCTTACCGAGCTTCGGCTCACCTCGTTGTTCTTTTTTTTTGTCTTGATAGAAAAAAGACAAGTTGGTATGGATGCGACTGGCTCCTCCTAACTCGGCTCATGTGAGGCACCATATATTAGTTTTTATTTTGTACGTAAATTTGGGGTATGGAGTTCGTGAGAAATTGAATATCGCCCGTAATGTTTTATTAATGTATTTAATTATATTATGTAAATTTTATCTTAAGGAGTTATATACGTAATGTACTATTAAAGTCCTAAGAATATCATAAGAACACTACTTAGAGTTTAGGATATGTCGGCATAACGCGCTTCGTCCAGTACTCCTACTTGGGTAGTAGAAATATGACTGGGACGGGGGCATTACAATTTTTACCTTATATATTTTACATATAAAAAACTATGAGACGGATGATAAAAGCACTCCAAGATTTAAATAGCTAGTGCGTGTCTATTGTTTTATTTTTATTTTATTTTATTTTATTTTTGGATTCGAAAGAGAAAAGACGCTTTGATTGTGTTTGTTTAGGAGAAAACAAGTTCCTTGTTTTTCCCATTTTTAAGCGGTTGTTTTGCGTTTAAGAAAAAAAGTTAACGGAAAATTATTTTCGATCAACGAAAAACGATAGAGTATTTTTGCAAAAAAAAATTTCCAGTTAAAAAAGAGAAAAACATTTTTCTTCTCACGAGTTGTCTCGCTCTCGTATTACTTACCTCTCTCTCGATATATTTTAATAATTTTTTCTCTATCTTCTTTTTATTTAAAATATATCAAATTAATTTTTAATTATTTTTTATCAATTATTTAATAATTTTCTCTATTTCTACTAATATTTGATTTTTTGATTTATAGATACATTAAATATTCTTAAAAACTACTTTTTACACCTTAAAATTATTTTTATAATAAATATTTTAATAATTTATCTCAATTTTTTTACTATTATCTCAAACACTACTTAAACTACATTTAAATGATTGGAAATAATTATTTCAAGACTGTAATTTTTTTTAAAAAAATTAAAATTAATTTATTTATTAATAAATACATTATTTTTTCAATACTATTCATTTGCCACTAAATCAATAATTTGTAATTTTAATCAGTTATAAAATTTTGTTGATAATTGTAGTGAATAATTAGTTACAAATTATTCCAACATTAATCTTTTGAAACCAAATGAATAATTATCTGCAAATGATAACTAATAATTTATAAAATTATTTTTTAGACTAAATTATCAATTCAATTTCTAAAAAAAAAAATTCTTAATTGAGTTACCAAAATAACAATGCTAGGGTTACTTAGATTTTTTTTAAAAAAAACTAAATATGAATATTGACTTGATTTTATGCCAAGTAATTTTGATGAATTGGTTTGATAGTTAAAAAGGTATATTTTATTTTTTGAATTAAAATTTTAAAGTCAGTATTTATGAACATTTATTAAATTTTTCTAAATGTATCTTATATTATAAAATTATAAATATGTCTTTTTGAAGTTTTATCTAAACTTGTTGATGTAACAATCACATATTGTTTTTATATTTTAATTTTCCGTATCAAACAAACATTGGAATATATTTTTCAGTAATTTTTTCATGTAATTGTCAAACAATAGAAAATATTTTTTTGAAAAACAATTTTCTGAAAAATAACTTCTTCAAGAATTGATTTTTTTATGAAAGTTGTTTTTCTCAAAACAAACAAAACCATTATCCATGTTCTTAGGATTGTGCTTTTTTTGCTGTCCTTGTTAGAAACTAAATTATAACCATTTGCCAAAAAACCTACTGTTGATGTTCTCATTAATCTATCTAATGGTACATATGCTACATTAATTTCTTATTTGTAATTTTGTGCGTGCTCTTCTTTCTCTTTTTATCTCTATATTTGTTTTTCCTACTTTGTTGAGTTAACTAGTCATGACTAGGTAATTAAACAGAGCATGGGTCATTATTCCGTGCTTTTCCTTTAATTTCCTCCAATATTTCTTCTTTTGCATTGACTTTTGTATGAATCCGAAAATTAGTTTTAATCCTGATCTCAGTTATCTAATTACATTGGATTAGTTGATATTCTAGTAATTATTGTTTTTTTATAGAGAAATTGGGAGTGAAATCTTCGATACTTGATAAATAGCCTGCAAGTCGTGTTATAACTGCTTTACTAGAAGTTGATGATGAGGTTGAAGAAGATCTGACAGGGAAATGATGCCGTTTTGATACCTAAATTTCGATATGATCCAATCAAAAAGTTTTATGAGTAAGTCAAATTTCATCTTCCATTATTATTTTTTATTTTTGTTCTCTGTTTGCAATTTTGGTATTATTAGTGCATTATTTTTATTAATTAATTGCTTAACCAATCAATCAATCAATTAATTGTAATAGTGGTCTGTTTAAGAATCTAAGGATTAATTAGTGAATTTTTTTTTAAATTTTCACATTTTTTTAGGAATTAAACGACGCATACTCGCGCGCATGTATATAATCGCATTTTTCCAAGCCTGCTTTTGCTACTGAGATGTCACATTATGAAGTGTTGAGGTGGGAGCATGGTCTCTATTTAACGCCCACTATAACGTGATTGAGGTGGGACGCTATAATGGTTTGGCTACTAAGCCTAGTACGGATAATTTCAATATTGGTAAACGATGGGCATCCAGACCTCTGCTGAACCAAATCAAAGCCTAGTACCCGAACGTCAACGGCCCTATCCTCTACGGTAGGTTTTCATACGAGCTTAAAAAAAATAAAAATGAATAATTGTTAAAGGAATAATTATTACAAGTACAATTTTTAAGTGTGTACAAATTGATTTTTAATGATCTTTGATGTATTCATAAATTGAAAGGTTCAATGTTAGTAGAAAATAATTAAATTATTAATAATGATTGGGGAGAGACGATTAAAAATTAATTTGGTGTGTGATTTTGAATAAAAAAAGAGAGAGAAATTAATATTGCTTGGAGGGTAATTAATGGTTACCTGAAAAAAAAAACCATCCCTCCTCTTCCGGCATCCCAATATATATATGAATAATTAAATATTCTCAATTACTTTTTAATATCAGTAGAAACTAATTTTATTTATTTTTAGCTAAACTAACTCTAAAATATATTCAGATTTCTGTTCATTATCGAACTTTTTCTTAGACTATATAAACTAAAGTTTGATATTATTAAAAAATAATTATGATTAGTTATTTATAAATAGTAAAAATTAAATCTTAATTTTAATTAAATTAAAATAACTTTTTTATCATTAGGACATATCTCTTAGTATTCCACCCTCAAATAATTAACCCTCTAAAAAAAAAAGCTTAAATTTTACGAGGATGACATTTCAACTCCTTCTAACCCCCATACTATACAGCCACTAATAGCAGTAACACATAAAAATAGGTCCTATGGATTTCACTTTTTTACGGACGAAGAAGCACCTAGAACTCCCGCCAATCAAATAAAAAATTCCTAGGAATTTTGGATTCATTCACCATGACCTTCAACTTAGTCCAACACAGATGTCTAATACTCTTCAACTCAATCGTAAACATTTGTGGAGAAAGATAAGGACATGTTAGAATTCATTGATTCCAGTCCAAAAAGATAAAACAGTTATACAGAAGCTCTTATTGAAAATCTGAAACCTCAATGGCTGAGAAAACAATGTTTGCTCGTCCTGTGTAATTATAAATGGTTGATCATTATCATTGATCACCACAAAGCTCTATCATTTACTAGATCGACCAAATCCAAATTGTGAAACCTATTAATTGAAGTTAACTATCAAAAACAAAAGGAAACCAAACATTCACTGTTAGAATTAGCAACCATGGAGTTCCTTTTTCAGTTCTCGGCAACTGCTATTGTTCTCATGCTTACCTTGATCACACCCTTCATCTACTCTTTCTTTTGGATATCAAGAAAGGCAAACAAGAAAGCACCACCGAAAGCTGCTGGTGCATGGCCTCTTATTGGTCATCTCCACATACTAGGAGGCTCACAACCACCTCATATAACATTGGGAAAATTGGCTGACAGGTACGGTCCAATCTTCACCATCAAGTTTGGTGTCCATCAAGCTTTGATTGTGAGTAATTGGGAGGAGGCTAAGGAGTGTTTAACTAAAAACGACAAAGTTTTTGCTAGTCGTCCCGAAGCACTTGCAATGGATGTCTTGGGCTACAACTACTCCATGCTAGGTTTCATGCCCTACGGACCTTACTGGCGACAAATGCGCAAGATAATCACTCTTGAGCTTCTCTCTAATCATCGACTTGAGATGCTCAGCTATGTTCGAAAGAATGAGGTAAAGGAAGCTATAGGAGGGTTATACCAGCAATGGAGCAATAACAAAAGTAGCTCAACAAAGCTTTTGGTGGAGATGAAGAGATGGTTTGGTGACGTAACTTTAAATGTCATATTGAAGATAATTGTGGGCAAGCGATTTGTGGAGTACATAAATTCCAGTCAGAGAAAGGTGAGTGAAGGATGGAGGAAGTCATTGGGGGACTTTTTTGAATTGTCAGGAATATTTGCGGTGTCTGACGGACTTCCTTTTCTACGATGGATGGATTTGGGGGGAGTTGAGAGGGCGATGAAGAAGACTGCAAAAGAGCTAGACCAAGTTCTTGATCTGTGGTTAGAAGAGCACAAGCAGAAGAGAGCTTCTGGCATAACTAAGGGAGAAGAAGATTTCATGGACGTGATGCTGTCCATTTTGGATGATGCCAAGCAGGAGCTTTCAAACCGCAATGCAGATACCATCAACAAAGCTACATGTCTGGTATGCCTATATTTCAGAAACTAATTATAGCTTTCTCAGTACCTTATGTAAATGTTACAGTGAGAAAGGGCTGTATAGCTTGCTCTATACCATGTGCAAATGTGAAACAGTATTACACAAATCTAATAATTTTATCTAGCAGGCATGAATTGCTAGAGTAGAGTTGAATTGTCCAGAAAAAATCAGATTTTCAGTTTCTTGCTTGGATTTAATACTGACAAAAAAAAAAAAAAATTAATTAAACAAAGATAACATAGTTGCTCTGAAATATTATTTTCTTCACCTTGCAGGCTCTAATTTTAGCAGCATCAGATACTACAACAGTTACATTAACCTGGACTCTCTCTTTACTACTAAACCATCGCCATGTCTTGAAGAAAGCACAACAGGAACTAGATATCCATGTTGGCAGAGAAAGGCAAGTGAAGGAATCAGACATGGAGAATTTGGTCTACCTACAAGCTATCTTAAAGGAAAGCTTTCGTTTATATCCTGCTGTGCCACTGTCACTACCACATATATCCACAGACGATTGTATTGTGAGTGGCTACCATGTTCCTGCAGGTACACGCCTCTTCACAAATGTTTCAAAAATTCATCGAGATCCACAAGTGTGGTCAGACCCTGATGAGTTTCAACCAGAAAGATTTCTTACAACTCATAAGGATTGTGATGTTCGAGGTCAGAATTTTGAATTGATACCATTTGGCAGTGGAAGAAGAATGTGCCCTGGAATATCATTTGCCCTCCAAGTTTTGAACCTTACACTAGCTACTTTGCTACATGGGTTTGAAATGGAGACCGTGAACGAGAAACCAATCGATATGACTGAAAGCAAAGGATTAACCAATCTCAAAGCCACCCCACTAGAAGCCCTTCTTACTCCACGCCTTCCTGCTCACTTGTATTAGCTTATAAATACAGAAAACTATTAGGCTATTTCAACTATTAAATACGGAGGACCTCTGTTGTACTACCGGCATAGGTTTTTTTTTTTTTTTCTCTCTTTTTTATTTCCCTGTCGCCGATTCTCTATATCCCAATGTGGCAGTTTCAAAGTACGTAATTTCTTCAAGATGGTATTTGGAATGGAATAATAATTCCTTGTTCTAAGATTAATATGGACATTAATCAGAACATATCAATATTGTATGGTTGCAGCATTCACAATAAATCTTAATATTTGTTCGAGTAATTTATTTTTTTGCATCTTCTAGTTCGCATCTTTATCTAAATTTTTGCTATGATTTATTGAAGAGTTAGATCATATTTGTGACTTAAAAATTGAAAGCAATTTATCAAAAAAAACAAAACAAAATACAAAGTTGTTGTCTGTTTCCTTTAAACGGTTGTAGAATATGATCGGTCACAACAAATTTCTTCAATTAATTACCTAATCCTGGTGGAGCATTTGTCAACACATCCACAGCACACACGGATTTAGCAGGCAATAGGGAGGGAGACCAGTAGCGTTAACAATTGATGAAAATTTCTACCAAAACTATGGAAAATTTTATAATACACAAGAACGAGTACACACGATTTAGCAAAAAATAGGGAGGGAGACCCGTAACATTAATAATTGATGAAAATTTCTATCAAAATTATGAGAAATTTTATAATACACAAGAAGTAGTTAGTGATATATATAGTAGTCATACTCCTAATTACTTCATTGATCCACTTTAAAGAGAGAGATAAAAAAAAAAGATATTAGGAGAGAGAAATTTTAAAAAAATTGAATTAATGTGAAAATCTTTTTATCATTTTTTATTGATTCAAATATAATTTAATATGTCTATCTTTTTTAAAAAAATAAATTCATAAAATAATTATTATATATATCATTTATTACTTTTTATATGTTATAAATTTGTTTTATCCATTATAAACTAATGTGGCTTTCATAATTCAATGCACTAACTATTGGGTTGGGTCCCTCCTCAACGGGCCCAAGTCCCATGTAAACAACGGGAAAAAAAGTATAAAGAAAAAAGTTGGTCACGCGAGTGACCTTATGAAAAGTCACTTAAAAAAAAAAAACAAAACAAAACAAAAAGTTATAAGATATCAAAACAAGAAACTATTGCAGCAGCCAAGAGAGAAAATAGCAGCCGCAAGAAAAGAAGAAAATGAGGTTTTAGCCGAGAGAGAGAGAGAAAGAAAGGTGCGTTCTTCATTTTTAAAGCCATCGATCGGATAATGATTTCAAACTCGACTGAGATAAAAATTTGATATATTGTTTTCAACGACAACCTTTTCAACTTTAACTATGATGATGGTTGAAAAACTTTCATCTTTGGGTATTTTAAAAAACCCACTTGGTGAGATGTAGTCTTTTTCTTTATTATTATGGTTGAAATTTATCTTAATAATGATGATTTTGATGCTTTAAAGTGTATCCTTTAGTTTAAATTAGAAAAAAAATTATGTGTCTCATTATTTGATATAATGAAAGAATTTTAAATGGACTATAGTCTTGTTGTTTTTCTTTACATTCAGGTTTATGAGTAAAAATTTATATGTTGTTTGTCATTGTATTTTATTTATTCCGCATTGATTATTACTAATTGATGGATCTTAATTTTAGTTGCACAAAGAGAGGAAAAAATTGAAACTTGTGGTTTATAATTTTGACTCGGACATATGCTTTTTCCCAATAGAGTAATATCAAAGCCTCGATTTAGGATGTATAAATTAATTGTTTTCTTATATAGTTAAAATAGAGAAGGGAGGCTCGGATATGATAAAGCTAACTTTTTCTAATTATCTTTTATGGAAGACATTGATGGAAGATTATCTTTACTATAATAATTTAGCTTTGCCGCATGAATGCAAAGGAAAGAAGCATGCCAATATAAAGAAGGCTAAATAGAAGTTAATCAACAAACAAGCTATGATTGCTATAAAAAAAATAGATATCTTATAAATCTATTAATCATGTCTCTTAAGAACATGACTAATATAAAGTTTGGAAGTTGCTTGAAAGAAACTTTTGTTAAAGAAAATGTACAAAACAAGATTTTTGTGATAAGATATCTTATAAACCTTATAAACATTTGCTAACCAGACAAATTCACCTCATATGTGTGGTCATGTCATTCTTAATAACAACATGGCTAATTGGTTCGATAATACCATATACTATTAGTTAAATGAAAATTGATATCCCAACTTTAATTTTTTAAATTTGAGTATTATAACTATTTTTTAGTTTGTAATAAAGTCGGTTGATCCCGTCGATCAACATTCAAGCACATTTTTTGTACGTAATGGTGGCGTGACCTAATAAATAATAAACATATGGATCTTATGATTATTTCGATCAACTTGACAAAGTAAAATTACAAACTACCCCAACGCAAAAACTAATAACCTTTCATCTTCTCAAACTCTCCAACCACTTAACTATTCCTCTCCTCCAATCAAACCCAACACAAGCCACGACCATCCCTTTCCTTCAATCAAACCCAACACCTCTTTTCGTCATCCTTCTCTTACAATCAAGACCAAACACCAGCCATTACAATCCTTATAGTCAACATCTTCTCCAGTCAAATAACATTAAGAGCCACCAACCATTATATCCTTCTCGACCATCCCTCTCCTCTCGCTCAAACCCAACAGACAACTACAACCATCCCTCTCTTCCTATCAAACCCAACACTAACCACAACCATCTTTCTCCTCCGATCAAACCCCACACCAACCACATCCATTCCTCTCCTCCGATCAAATCCAAAAGCGACCATTACAATCTTCATAACCATTATTTTCTCCGGATAAAAAACACCAAAAACCAACACTAACAATTGTCGAACGACGTCAAAGCCCTCCCTTCTCCAATCAAAAAACCAACTTGGTCACCCATATTTTTCTTGCTTATTTGGAAAAAAGTTTTATAAAATAAAATGATATTGATATTGATTGAAATTAGACAAGAGATTGGGTAAAGATTTTAGATTGACAATTTAATTTAGGTTTAAATTTGTTAATCATTTCATCATGACGTGTGTTCGAATATCGATTAACGAGATCGATCAACTTAATTACAAACTGAAAAATAATTATGGTACTCATATTTAAAAAATATGCATTGCAAAAATCTACCGATTATCTTTATAGGATATTACCCTAATGCTTTGATCATTAGGGAGTTTATTTTTTTGTTGTGTAGTAATATATATATATTGTAAAAATTTCTAATTTATTTAATAATATGATCATATTAAAAAAAAAAGATTTTTTTACTTAATGATAGCTGGTATCTTTCAAAAATAAGTCGATAGTACTTGCTCCAAGTTTTGCATATATGTACCTTGGGATAGCATTTGCTCAAATGCCCAAACCAAAATTTCACTTGGCAGAATATAATTGCAGCGGGCAGTGATGCCACAGCGGTTACCCAACCGACATGGCTAGTTTTTCACACGCTTTCGAAATATGAACCCCTCCAAGTGCACAGATCAACATGTCTGATCGCCCTGGACTCGCAGACACGATTGAGTAGAGACGCCACAATGGTTTGGCTAGTATGGATAATTTCAATGTTGGTAAAGAATGGGTTAAAATTCTAACAAACTAATTTTATTAGAAGTTTTGAGTTTTTGCTATGAGTTAAAAATATATATATATATTCTAATCCAAATTCTCTCTAGTATGATAATTTCAATGTTTGTAAACAATGGGCATCCAATCCTCTGCTGAACCAAATCAAAGCCCAGTCCCCCAACATCAATGGCTCTACGGTAGCCTTTCATATGAGATTAAAAAAATAAAAATGAATAATTGTTAAAGGAATAATTATTTTTAAGTTTGTAAAAATTGATTTTTAATGATGTTTGATGTATTCATAAATTGAAGGGTTCAATATTAGTAGAAAATAATTAAATTATTAATAATGATTGGTGAGAAACAATTAAAAATTAATTTGGTGTGTATTTTGAATAAATAAATAAATAAGAGAAAACAAATAATACTGCTTGGAGGGTAATTAATGGTTACCTTCCAAAAAACACCATCCCTCCACCTCGTACACCCCCAAATAATTAACCCTCTCAAAAATACAAATAAACAAGCTTAAACTTTACAGGGATACTATTTAACTCCTTTTAACCACCATACCGAACACCCCCTAATAGCAGCAACGCATAAAAATAGGACCTATGGATATGGATAGTTATCTTAATGGATTTCACTTTGAAGAGGCACCTAAAACTCTCGTCAATCAATAAAAAAATTCTCTAGGAATTTTGCGGATTCATTCACCCTCTTTTCATGACCTTTAACTTAGTCTAACACAGGTGTCTAATACTCTTCAACTCAATCGTAAGCATTTGTGGAGAAAGATAAGGCCATGTTAGAATTCATTGATAGAAAATTCCAGTGCAAGAAGCTAAAAAAGTTACACAGCAGCTCTTATTGAAAATCTGAAACCTCGTTGGCGGAGAAAATAATGCACGCTCTTGTCCTGTATAATTATGATTCGTTGATCATTATCATTGGTCACCACGAAGCTCTATCATTTACAGACAACCAAATCCGAATTTTGAAACCTATTAATTGAAGTTACGTATCAAATATCAATCACGTTCCAAACAATATTTCTCAACTGGTGGAGAAGTTTTCCCCAAATCCAATAGCAATCCGAAGAAATTTACAAGCTCTAAATACTTCTACCTTTTTTATTATCTGTAATAGAATTATACATCAACAACTAGATCTTCAATTCCAATTCCAAAAATCTCTACCTCTAATTAAGACCAATACATGGATTATCTGACCACCATACTTGCTTTTTCGCTTTTGCTTTACGCCCTTTTATGGATGTCAAGAACGAGCAAGAAAAAAACAGCACCGAAAGCTGGAGGTGCATGGCCTTTCATCGGCCATTTGCATCTATTAGGAGGGCCACAACCAGCGCACATAGTTTTAGGCAACATGGCCGACAAATATGGTCCAGTCTTCACCATTAAGATGGGAGTGCATCGAGCATTAGTTGTAAGCAACTGGGAGATGGCCAAGGAATGCCTAACTACCAACGACAAAGCCTTCGCTAATCGTCCGAAATTTCTAGCCGGTCAGATTTTGGGTTACGATGGTGCTATGTTTGGGTTTAGTCCATACGGCCCTTACTGGCGTCAACTGCGCAAGACAGTCACACTGGAGCTTCTCTCAAGCCATCGACTCAAACTGCTAAAAAGCGTAAGAGAATCCGAGGTAAAGGTGTCTCTAAAGGAGCTGTACAAACATTGGGATCGGAAGAAAAGTAGCTCAGAGGTGCTGGTAGACATGAAGAGTTGGTTTGGAGATATAACCATTAATGTTATTTGTAGGATAATTGTTGGTAAATCTATGGGATATGCCACCACAAATGGGGGTGACGAAGATGGTACCGAATCCTGGAAAAAACAATTGAGAGAATTTTTTGATTGGACAGGGAGGTTTGTGGTGTCTGATGCGCTACCATTTTTGAGGTTTTTAGATATTGGGGGACAAGTGAGGACCATGAAGAAGATAGCAAAAGATTTAGACCATTTTGTTGAAGGTTGGTTAGAGGAGCATAGGCAGAAGAAAGTAAATGGGGATCAGGTAATTAAGGGAGAGGAGGACTTCATGGATTTGATGCTATCCATTTTTGATGAAGCAGATGTAGCCCAATTAGGTCGAGATTCTCGTACCATCAGCAAAGCCACATGCCTGGTAATCATCTCCTTTTTAAGCCTCTTTTAAACTAATTGATATTTGATTATTTACTCTAGGTTAAGTGAACTGTATTTTTGGCAGCCACCTTCTAGCTAGTTGGCTCTTAGCTTAATACATATCAATAATATTCACACAAAAAAAAAAAAAAATGAAATCGAATTGAATTAGAATTTATAAAACACGTCCAAATTTGATAAATTTAGTTTTAAATAAAAGTTGATTTCATATAATATGAAATGGTCATATGGTACAAAACATGTAGGATCTTAATTACTTTTCTATAGATAGATTACGTATATATTCCTGTGGGTAACGTTTACAAATATTATTATACAAATTAAAGCCTTCATATTATGCCTAATGATCTGGTTTAAACCTTTTGATGCTTCAAACTCTCAACAGAAGGAATATATATATACATAAAAGAGAGGTCGATATTTTAAACCAAATATGAAAAACCAAAACTGAAGTATTCATATATATGTTTGGTTAGTTCACTTTGTCAACTAAGTCTGAGAGAGGTGGCACTAAATTCCTTCACCCTTTTGGCTATTGCAAAATTCCTCTCAAAGTTTTTCCACAAGCATTAATTTTGACTTTTGAGAAATCATCCACCCTTGCACTAATTCTCATAACCTGTCCAACGTTGCTGTTTACGTAGCTTTGTTTCCAACATGTTGCAGGCCCTTATCTTAGCTGCCTCAGATACCACATCGGTCTCTTTAACATGGATTCTCTCTTTGCTAGTCAATAATCAGAAGGCACTAAAGAAGGCCCAAGAAGAATTAGACCTCAATGTTGGTAGAGAGAGGCAAATCCAAGAATCTGATTTAGATAACTTGGTCTACCTCCAAGCCATCATCAAGGAAACATTGCGTTTATACCCTGCCGGACCACTATCAGTACCGCATGAGTCTATGGAAGATTGCGATGTGGGTGGCTACAATATCCCAAAAGGCACAAGACTTCTTGTTAATATTTCGAAAATTCATCGTGATCCACGAGTATGGTCAGATCCCCACGAATTTCAACCAGAAAGATTTCTTACCACTCACAAGGATTTTGATGTTAGGGGTCAAAATTTTGAATACATACCATTTGGTAGTGGTAGGAGGATGTGCCCTGGAATTTCATTTGCGTTTCAAGTTATGCAGCTAACAATGGCTACTCTGCTACATGGGTTTGATTTTGCAACTCCTTCAGATGAACCGATTGATATGATTGAGAGCATTGGATTAACCAACATTAGAGCCACTCCCCTCGACATTGTTCTGAATCCACGCCTTCCCACTCACCTCTATTTATAATTGTTGTTGTCCCTTATTTTAAATTCCTGAAATTTTAGTTTTATGGTATTAATGTTAGGAAAAGGTAATGTATCAGGATATAAATGGTTAAGTTCGGAATATCAGTTAGCTTGGGACTGCCAATAATGGTTTGAGTATAATATTGGAACCCCTAGATGGACGAACAGTGGATTGTGATGCATGTGTATCCATATTTCTTCTGATTCTTATTCTTCTTTTTTCGATCTTTTTGTTAATTTGCTTACATCAAGATTGAAACAGTCAAAATTTAAATTTGTTTCACATGTTATGGAATATCTTCATCCTAGCAATAAGTTCACTTGAAAATTTCAGCATACCATGATCTAGACTGACACACGTTTTGTCTTTTAATTATTCATAAATTTGTTGTTAGGAGGGTTGGTGTGCTCTGAATATTTGAATTACTATTGATAACAATATAGTTTAGTTAATGTTAATATCCAACACTAGTTTATATACTAGAGTACATCATCTCCTTCTATTGCAAGCCATTCTAATCTTTCCTTTCTCTCTTTTCATTCTTGTGGATTGCAAGAAATATGCTAAGAGAAGCAGACAAGAAGAAAGCAGCACGAGAAGCTGAAGGTGCATGGCCAGTAATTGGCCACCTCCATCTTCTAGGAGGTCCACACCTTCTCCCCATAGAATTAGGCACCATGGCTTACAAATATGGAGATTGCTAAGGAGTGTTTGAAAACCAATGATAAAGCCTTTGATTGTGCAATATTTGGCGTTAGTTCATACAGTCCCTATTGGCGCCGGGCGAAGAAAAATAATCACATGTGAGCTTTTATCAAACCACTGACTTGGGGTGTACAAAGATGTGAGAGAATCTGAGGTGACGGCGTGTCTAAAAGAATTGTAAAGTTATGGGCCACCGATAGAACTAAGGTGTTGGTAGAGTGTAAGAGATGGTTTGGAGATATAAAGTTAAATGTGATTCTTACAACAATTGTTGGGAAATCTGTTGGATATAGGACCACAAATGAGGGAGAAGAGAGTGTGAGAAGGTGGAAACAAGGATTAAGGGATTTTCTTTTATGTTTTTTTTGGGATAGGGAGGTTTGTGGTGTCTGATGTGCTGCCATTTTTGAGATTTCTGGATCTGGGGGGACATGAGAGGGCAATGAAGAAGACTGCAAAAGAGCTGGACCTTCTTGTTGAAGAATAGCTAAAAGAGCACAAGCAGAGAGGGTCACACATTTTAAATAAGTGAGCACGCACGCACGCACGCATAGGAACACTCAAGGTCTGGGGTGTGACAGAGGGCTTCTGGCGTTGTGAAGCTGGGAGATGAGGATTTCATGGATGTGATGCTTAACATTCTTGATGTTGATGCAGAATTAGTTCAAGGTGGAGATTTTGATACAATCGACGAAGTTACATGCGTGCCTGGTAAAATTCTTTGCTCTGCTATGATGCATTTTTCCTGTATTAGAAAAAAAAAAAAATACTACTAAATATTGTGGATTAAAAATCGCTTAGGAATTAATTCACGTATAAATGCACTATGTCAAGTAGATAACGGTAATAATTTTTTTAAGATAAGTAATAGATTTACATGTTTAACAATGAGTTTTCATTACAAAATAAACTAAAAGAAAATCATGAAACACTATATCGAAAGCAATATAGCCACAGCCTACAACTGCTTTTTTATTTTAAAAAATTTTATTTTCGTTTTAGTCTCTGTTTTGTAACTTTTTTTCTTTTTGGTCGTGAAAATTTACTATATTTACATTTCATCAGTCACTATTTATTTTTTTCTCTCTCTTCCCTCAAAGCTCCTTTTTACTTTTAATAAATTTAATTTTCGTATTAGTCTCTATTTTATAACTTTTTTTCTTTCGGTGATTAAAATTTTATTATATTTGATTTTTATCCCTACAATAAATATTTTTTTGTAATTTTTAATTTATTTCATTTAAGCTCCTAAAAATTTAAAATAAAAATTTTAATTCCCCGATTGATGCACTACACATGCCTTTTTTTTTCTTTTGGTTTTTTTGTACTTTTTTCCATCAATTTGTGTTCTTTTTTTATTTGATTGGATGTTAAACTTGTAAAAAATCAATTTTTTTCTTTGGTTTTTTCATCAATTTATGTTCTTTTTTTAATTGGATGTTAAAATTTTGAACAATCAATCATAACTTTTTTCCACACAAATTGATGATTATATAATCTATCTTTTTATATTTTGAAATTAACATATACTTCAACTTATATTACTCGTTATTATTTAAATTTCATTCTTTAAATTTATCATTTTTTTTATCAAAATTCTCATCCAATTAATATTTTTTATATGAAATTTTATTTACTAATATTATATAATTTATTTTTCTCTATATTTGAATTATAGAATAAAATTTTAAAACATGATTGTTTTTTTATTTTTTTAAAAATAAATTGGTATAATATATATATCATGAATTCTTAGAAGTTTTACATGATAGTTGCATATATATAAATAAATAAATATTTTATTCTAAAAGGTTAAAAGTGTATTTCAAATAATTTATCTCGAGTTCACTAGATATGGTCAAAACATATAAAAAACTTATTAAATTATTCATTTTATTAAAAATTAACTATACATCTTTCAACATAATAAAAATTATTTACTATAAATAATTTTTTAACATTATAAAACCAATTTTATTTGAAATAAGATAATTAAAATAATTTTTAAAAGGAACCAACCAATTATTCAAATACTATTTTTTATGCTAATTTTATTGATTATTTTATCAATAAATATATATAGATCAAATGCATATACTTGAAAAAAATTAATTTTCTCACCAATATTAAATAAGAATAAAATTTTATTTTTTCATTGGTTAATTCTTATGCAAGTTTGTACATTAATTGTAAATTTATTTTTTAAATTCATTCTTATAAAAAATATAATTTTAAAGCATTTTCTTTTGAATTCTTAATTAATTTTTCAGATTTAAATTATTATAAGTTTTTGTTTAAGAATTCTTAAATAACAAAGAATAAATCATGCTTTTTAAGCATAAATTTAATGAAAAACACAAAAAAATAGTAATAATTAAATAAAAAATTATTACATTTTGAAATGATTTTATTCTATTTACCAAGTAACATTGCACGAATAATTTTAAAAATTATATTTTCTCATCGGCATTAAATGAGAATTCTTTTTATTTGTTAATTTTTATCAAAATCTGTCCATTAATTATAACTATTTTTTAGAATAAAATATCGTAAAAATTATTTTTTAAAATTTTTTTCAATTCTTGATTAATATTTTAGTTGAAAATATTATAATTTTTAATTTTAAAATCAATCTATTGAGAAGAATGATTTATTTTTTTTAAGTAAAGAATTTATAAAAAACATTAAAAAATTTTAATTAAATTAAATATTATAATTAAAAAAAATTAAAATTTTAAAATAATTTTATTTTACCGGACCAACGGCGTAGCGCGGGCAACCAGCTAATTTAGTACTAAAAAAAAAGAAAAATCTTCAGCACTAGCAGACTGCAGTAAATCCATCTTCGTCATACGAGTAGAAAATGGGCCACAAAGCCCAAACATTTGAACTTACGCTCTGAGTATCAGACAGACAGACAGACACCACAGCAATAACTACGGCATGGGCTATCTCTTTATTATTCAACAGTTCTGATGTCCTAAAGAAGGCCCAACTAGAATTAGACACCCGCGTCGGTAAGGAAAATTTGGTTTACCTCAACAGACGTACTCAAGGAAACGCTGCGTTTATACCCAGCTGGACCACTTTCCCCGACACACGAGTCCATTGAGGATTGCATCATAATATCAATGTTTGGGCAAACATTTCATATATTATTTCTACATGTCATGTTTTTATTGGACTGGTATATAAATAATAAAGTAGATTACATATATTTAATAATTTCTTCGAATAAGAACACTGATTTTATGATGCCATTGCTCGATTGTTTTAATTTCCTTCCCACAAATGCTGAAGTTCTCTGACTTATACATTGCATATAATATCGTTCGTTGAAAATTCGGGTTGGGATGGAACATTTCAAATTTGTAATAATTTATTGTAACATTAGTGTCAGGATAAACTAGAAAAACTATCGGTCAACAAAATTGGGGTGGCACCATGAGTGAAAGGCAGCCAGGCACAATCCCTTTCAGAATGAAAATAAATAAAAATTCCAGCAGATAATGGATCCAGGGGATGGTGATTGTAAATGCTCATGTGCATCAATCTCTATTCACACGTTGATGTACTTGCTTTCTTATTCAATCTTGATCACGTCTTATACCATATTAAAGCAACAGCAAAATGTAGACTGATCTCAGCTCATTCATCTTTTGATTACCTAATTATTGGAAGGCGTTAGTTTTCAAATCTCCAGAACTAGCAATGGAAATTCTTGATCTTCCATTCCCCACAAATGACATGACTGTCATATTTTCCCTTTTTACTTTTCTGTGTTCAACCTTTTGGATATCGAGAAAATTCCTAGCAAGCACAGTAAAAAAGAAGAAAGCAGCACCAAAGGCTGGAGGAGCATGGCCTGCGATCGGGCACCTCCATCTGTTAGCAGGGCCGGAATCCCCCCATATAGTACTCGGCAACATGGCTGAAAAATATGGGCCCGTCTTCACCATGGGCCCCATTTTCACTATCAAGATGGGTGTGCGTCGAGCTTTGTTAGTAAACAACTAGCATGTATCTCGTGCGTTGCCGTAAGGTGAGCTATACAATATTTTTATGTATTTATTCATATAAAATATTAAATTTAAAAATAATTACATAAAATGATCACACACAAAAAATTCAGAGTGAATTATATAACATTCTTATGTATTTATTCATATAAAATAAAAAATTTAAAAATAATTATTTAAAAAGATCATGCAAAAAAACATTTAAAAAAAAAACATATATCTTATATTTTACCGTAGGGTTAGCTAAACGAAAAGCCTGCAGTAAAGTTAAGCAATATAATGTTGTTAATTAGATATTGTTTGATATAAACATATATTTTATTAGAAATATATATAATAACCGATAATTAAAATAATAATGTGATAATTTTTTTAATTTTAGATGATTAATTTTTACCATATATTCTTCATCTATAATTTGTTAATGAGATAGAGAAACCACTCAAAACAAAAAGACAAAAAACTTTGTCAAATCGAGAATTTGGTAAAAAAAAAAAATAGAGATAAAATTACACACGATCAAAATTAAATGATCAAAACAAAGTAAATATCATAAAATAATAATAATAATAATAATTCACCAAAAAAAAAACTTATAACAATAAGACTCGTAAGTAGTTTTACTAAAAGCTAAGAAAAAAATATTTATTATAGAGATAAAAAATCAAATATAATAAAATTTAAATAACTAAAATAATAAAAGTTTACAAAACATGAACTAAAATAAAAATAAAATTCGCTAAAAGCCAAAAGAGGGCTTAAAAAATACGAAAGAGAAAAAAATGATTTACTATAGGAATAAAAATTAAATATAATAAAATTTCAATGGTCAAAATAAAAAAGTTACAAAACATGGATTAAAATAAAAATAAAATAAAATTTTAATATTTATTATAGGGACAAAAATGAAATATAATAAAATTTTAATAATCACGATAAAAATTATAAAAAGGGATTAAAATAAAAATAAAATTCACCGAAAGCCAATAAAAGAGCTTAAAAAATGCAACAAGAGGAAAAAAAATATTATAAAATAAGGATTAAAATATAAAATTAATTTAAAGTCAAAAGAGAGACTTAAAGCATCAAGAGAAGGAAAGAAAGAAAGAAAGAAAAAAAAAAAACTGGGCTACAGGCAAGGCAAGGCAAGGGGAAAAAATAAAAAATAAAAAAAGAGAGAGAAAGAAAAAAAATTAACCCGAGCTATAGGCAAGGCAAGGCCAAAAAAAAAAAAAACAAAAAAGCAATAACGGTAAATAAATAGTAAAAACGCTACAGTATATTAGCGTTTTGTTTTAGTTTTTCTTTTGATGTAATAGGGAGACTGTCAAGGAATGTTTCACCACCAATGATAAAGCCTTTGCCGATCGTCCAAAAACACTTGCTTATGAGATTTTGACCTCCGATGGGACAATGATAGGCTTTAGCCCATATGGCCCTTATTGGCGTCAAGTCCGCAAAATAGCCACCGTTGAGCTTCTATCAACGTACCGGCAAGAGAAACTGAAAGATGTACGAAAGTATGAGATAAGGGCATGCCTGAAAGAGATGTACAATTTATGGGGCGAGAATAAAAGGAGTATATTAAATAACAAGGCATTGGTGGAAATGAAGAGATGGTTTGGAGATCTAACATTAAATATCATTCTCCGAACAATTGTTGGATCTTGTTGAAGAATGGTCAAGAGAGCACAAACAAAAAAAAGCTGCTGGTGTTAAAGGAGAAGAGGACTTCATGGATTTGATGCTAGATGTTTTTGATAATGACGCAGAAGCTGTTCAAGGTGGAGATTCTGATACCATCAACAAAGCTACATCGCCGGTAATTAATCCTCTGCGCCAATTAACTCTTGTTCTAATCCATAGCCAATTCTATTAACCATACTCTAAATAATGTTTTATTTAATATTTTTAGAATTAATTCAACTACCTTTACGTTGATTATTATTCACAGAACTATAGATTAACAAAAATATATAGAAGGCTCTGTACTTTGCATTTTAACATTGAAAAAATATATGCACACACACTTTTTTACCTTTTTTTTTTTAACAATGAAACTATACTTCTTCAGTTCCTACAAGTATCTGAAGAGGCAACCTTTTTCCTTTTACGCCATCAATTAACAAATTTTATGTTTATTGCAAATGAATTTTTCATCAATAAGAGAATGTTTTAATAGGAGAATATACATCGTTTTTGCTGAATATTTTAAGTTAGTATTAGTTTATTTGAATGAAATAAAAAAGAACATAGACATATTTTCAATTTGAAGGTGAAATTATGAATTGAGGGGAAAAAAAAACTGTAAAATAACCAACAAAAGGGAATCACAGTTTGCATGTAATCCAATTATTCGTTTATCTGTTTTAGTAATTGCATTGAGATAATGGGCTACAGCTTACGGTATAACAATCTTACGGCCCTTATTATGGCAGCCTCAGACTCGACAGTAGTGACTTTGACATGGGCTCTCTCGTTACTGGTCAACAATCCTAATATCCTAAAGAAGGCCCACCTTGCAATAGATACCTATGCTGGTAAGGAGAGACAGGTAGAGGAATCAGATGGGCAGAATTTGGTTTACCTAAAAGCCATCCTAAAGGAAACGCTGCCTTTATACCCAGCGGCACCCCTCTTGATTCCACATGAGGCCACTGAAGATTGCACAATAGATGGCTACGATGTTCAAAAAGGAACAAGACTTCTTGCTAATATTTGGAAGATTCAATATGATCCCCGGGTGTGGCCCAACCCTAACGAATTTGAGCCGCAAAGATTTCTAACTCACAAAGATGTTGATGTTAGAGGACAAAATTTTGAATATTTGCCCTTTGGCAGTGGTAGAAGCATGTGCCCTGGAGTATCTTTCGCCCTTCAAGTCATGGAACTAACCCTGGCAACATTGATACATCGGTTTGATTTTGAAACCCCAACAGGTGAACCGATTAATATGAATGAGAGCATTGGATTAACCCACCAACGAGCAACGCCCCTTGAAGTTCTTCTCAGTCTGCGCCTTCCTTCTCGTCTCTATGGACAATAAAATATACACCTGTAGATGGTCCATCTTTGAATAAGATCACAGATGTTGACGCTTTCGTAAGTGATTCCTGTATGTATCTGTTCATAAATACTCGCAATAATAATAATAATAATAATAAATCATCGCTACAATCACTGTATTATAATTAAATATCATGTAGTATTCGTTTTACATGCAATTTGTGGTATGTGTTTTTATTAATATGATGAATTGATGATGATGATGAGCTGTTGAGCTCTGATCATTTCGATGATCCATGCACGAATCCCTTGAGAAACAGTAATGGAGATCGTCCGTTTATCGACTATCCAGATGACCGTAGGCAATTAATGGTTTGGGGACAACCATGGATGATGGTTTAATAAAATTAATAATGGATGGAGTTCTCTTTGTGAAAACCTTTGGATTTGTCTATAGAACTGTCGACTTTGCCATTTAATATAAGTTTCAACGCACATTAATCAGGAATTAAGTAAAATATAAGACTCTTTCACAAAAAAATATAATTAACTTTACCAAAATCTTATAATATTTCAATTTCAAATTTCAAGTTTCCTTTATGGACATCAAGGAATTCTAATTGCTAAGACTTCAAGGAAGACATCTTGATTACAGCGACAACCCACTTATGGCTAGGGATAACTTAAACTCAATCAAGCCACAAACCTTTTTTACCAGCCTGACTTGCATTTAATAGCATGCACAACTAGCTAGAATATCAGTTTAATGGCAAATTTTATCTCAATTCTAGTAAGATTTAGCAATTTCGGATTCACAATACAAACTTATGTAATTTGAATCTTAAAGTATTAAAAATTGAACAAATATAATTTAAATTGCCTAATTTTTATTATGCGTAACGGTCAATTCTAGGTTGATCATTACTTGAAATGCCAAAATGATATAATTTTATTATTCCGTTGTTAATTATTTTTTTCTTAAAAAATATTTTAAAAATATTTTTAAACCCCTTAATATTGAATTTTTTTAACTTTTTTTTCTTATAAATATTTTTAAACCCTGATTTTGAATTTTTTAAAAAAAATTTATAAAATATTATTGTAAAAAAATAATTAAGAATATACAATTCCGTGTGTTAAAAAAATTTATAAATTAAAATGAGCATAATTAAATATTGATCTCCTAATAAAAAAAATTATAAAAAAATTATAAAATTTTTATGATATTTTATAAAAAAAAAGTTAAAAAAATCAAAATTAGGAAGAGTTAAAAGTATTTATAAAATATTTTTATATATAATTTATAAAATATTTATTTTATAAGAAAAATAATTTTTTTTAAAAAAATTAAAATTAGAACGTTGCAAATATTTTCAAAAAAGTTTTTAGAAAAAAACAAAATTAATATTAAAATGTTAAAACGATATATTTTAACATTTCAAGTAATGATCAATTAAATTAATCATTATATTGAATAAAAATTTAATGATTTAGATCAAATTTATCTAATTTTTAATATTTTAAAATTTAAATCGAATGATTTGATGTAATAAATCTAAAATTATCAAATCACGGTAGAATATTTTCATTAAGCCCTAGAATATCATACCATAACTATCATCACGTGGTTGTTGTGGGACGCGTCATCGAGTATGGTGGCACACATGATTGGTCGTCATCGCAAATTCTTGGCCGGCCAATAATAATCATAAGTAAGTGTCATCAGTGATCCAGGTATGTCCTTCCAACTCACAAATGAATTTACCCTCCTTGTGTTCCCCCAGCTCCCTTGGTTTTAGAGCTGGTCCCTTACCCTCGACCTCAAGAATCAACGATGGTTGCACCACAACCATAAAAGGAAAATTTGATTAGACAAAATCTGCAGTTGCACTGCATTTCTAGTAAAGACTAGCGTCCATATTCTTTTGTCTTTTAACTTACAAATAATTATATGCTTAAGATCCGGTCCACATGTTACCTTAACATAACCTATGAAAAAATAAATTAGAAAAAAGATTGAAGTAGAAAAGATTTAAATAAAGAAAAATTAGAAAAAATGAAATAAAAAATTCAAATAAAAATCTGAAAAAAGATTGAAGTTAATGAAAAACAATGACAATTGTGAAATTAAAAAGGAAAATTTTCTTTTCTTATTTTGCTTTTTCTATTTAGCCGAATTGTTTGCATATAAAAAGAAAATTTTGTTCTTTTTTTTAGTACAATTGCCAAATAAAGCAATTGGAGATTAAAAAAAATTAAGGATTTTTTTAATTATTTTGATGAATTTTAAAAAAAATAATGATTTTTTTACAGAAAATATTAAGGTCTTCTCTAGTATCGATTTTTTTAATACTACAATCACAAATAATTGCAGTAGTCATGGTGATGATCTCACACATAACTTTTGTAATGAGACGGATTTAATCGCAAAATTAATTTGTATTATTGTTAATAATTTTACTTATTAAGTTCACAAAGAAACTTGAGTAATTGTACTGTTTTTTTAATTATAGTGAATTATTTCAAAATTAGTCTTGTGATTTTTCTCTCGCAATATCTTCCATGTAAATTTGGTATTTTTATAGTTTTGCTTTCATAGTTGATTTATTTTTTTACTTTTAATTATTTGTGTTTGTTTGATTTAATTATTTTTTCACGAAATTTAACTTACACGGAGTCAAATTAAGTTTCTAATAAATTCAATCTCGATTGGACATGTTTCAAGCATCTTCAAATCTTCAATCAATAGCCCCTTAGATTTTGTCTCTTTTAGCAATCTTGTTATTTATTTATTTATTTATTATTATTATTTATGGAAGTTTCTTTTAAAAATCTTAATTTGAGTGAATTATAAATTAATCCTCTTGTTTAGAGAAACAAATTAATTGGTTCTCTCTGTTTTTTTTTTTTAAAAAAAACTAATCATTTAGTCCCTCACATTTTTATTTTGTCAATGACTTAGTTTTGTTATCAGTTTTCTATTAAATTAGTATTTTTTTTCACTTGATTTTTGGTTGAGAATCAAAATTAGTAATAAATTATATATTTTTTACTTATGACTCCTTAACGCTAGGTGTGAAACTTTTTTTTATGATGTTGATAAATTGGTTTGTTGAATTAAATTTATAATTTTTAATGAATAAAAAATATTTTTTTAATAATAAACCACAATAATGTGTGGATAATCACCATATATATCAAGCTTTTTTATATAATTTTTAAGAATTTACTTTTTTTTAGTTCTTAGAAATTTATCTTGATTTTAGTGTCGCCACGTAGTGTTTTTATATCAAGTTTATAAAAAATAGTATTGATATTTGATTAAAAATAAAATTAATCGCACAAGTATTATTCTTAAATACAAAATCCTATAATAAAGCTATTAAAATTTTAATAAAAAAATTATAGCACAAATTGGTCACAATATATATTCTTTACTTATTGCTAATGTTTCCTTAATATTAGGCGATGTTGTTTCTATCCTTTTTTTTTCAATATACATTTTATTTAATACTAAATTTAATACAATGCTTTTCTTTTAATAATTATCATCTACTTGTTTTTAATTATAAACAATATATATATATATATATATATATATATATATATATATATATATATTGTTAAAATAAATGCACATGTTCTTTTTTATACCTATTAAGATAAATTTTAAATTTTTGTTATGCATAGGTGATATTTTTTAATATTATTCATGGAACGTGTGAGATGATCGTCCAATTCAAAATTGAATTTTTTTCGAGCACACATCTATTTAAATTAAAGAATCCAAAGACTTGTCTCAAGTAAGAAATTGAGTAAATTGAACTTGAAAAGGTAAGAAATTGAGTAAATCTCCTTGACCTCTAAACCAATCTTTTGGATTAAGATATATTAAAAAGATTAACCCTATTTATTACTTTCAATTTATTCAAAGTCAAAATTAAGTTCATTTTAACAAGAAAAAAAATCCGGGTCTTTACCGCTTTCTCTGAACAGTGAAATCCGGGCCCTAACTACAGTCAATTAACCACGGTTCCTAAGTTTCAAAACTGCCCTTCACTTTAGACCGTTGAAGAAACCACTTCCTTCTCACGCTATCGTCACATATAAAAGCTAATCGAGCCAAAAATTCACGATAAAAGTTCCCAAAGTTTCCCGGCATATTCAACCGGACGGGCGAGATGTTTCCGGCGAAAATTGAACAGCAACAGAGTGTTAACCACCAACAACGCACCACCATTTACACGGTGGCAGGCAAAGTGGTGATTGCAGTGAGAGCAGAGAAAGTGATATCCAAGAGAGCATTAGCATGGGCTCTCACTCACGTTGTACATCCTGGCGATTGCATAACGTTGCTTGCTGTCTTCACTAACAAAAACTCCGGTAATTCAAGATTTTCAACTGCTGACACATTCTCCTTTTGTTTTTAACTTTCTTGTTTTGAATTGTCGATTAATGCGTCTGATGTTCATAGGTAAAAGATTCTGGAACTTTCCGAGGTTGACAGGAGATTGTGGAAGCAATCAACGTGAGAGATTGCCGGATCGTGTTTGTGAAATCTCCGAGAGTTGTTCTCAGATGGTGCTTCAGTTTCATAACCAAATCGAGGTCAGCTTGAATTTACCCATTTGTTCACTTGCTTGCTTTCCTTTTTTTTCTTTTCTTTTCTTTTTAACGTGAGACGTTATCCTATAGTCCGCTTTCGCATAGCAAGATTAGTTCCTTGTCGGATGTTAGAGTTACTTTTTTTTTTTAACTTCTCTCAAACGGTTAAATATTTTTCACTTGCTTGCCAAATTTTTGATTTTTTTTTTTTGCCTCCTTGGTTTGTTAAGGTTATGCCATTGTATAGGACAATATCCAATGAATCTCTTAAAACGAATAAAAATAATATACGTATTAGAAGCATTTGGGGCTTAAAGGGACACAGAAAGGGGCCAATTATGCTGTAATCATGTTTCTAGGAATTTGGTGTAGTGAGAGAGAATAGAAGGTTGGTGTGGATCCCAAACAGGCCTTCACGTGTGTTGTCAAATGCAAATGAATTGAGTTAATGATGGCAATAGCATGTGCTTTGAAATTGCTAGTTTTGAAGATAAAGTAGGGACCCCTTTATCATGTGCTTTATTTGGACTTTCGATGGATGCATTATTACTTATTAGTTTATTTATAAATTGTTAATCATGGTAACCCACATCATCATACTTTGGGGAACATTTTGTACACCCCATGTGAGAATTGAAGGTACTAAAGCAATGAATTAATGACAAACTTGTGGTTCTTTATTTTGGATTCAGAAACTCCTGGAGTGATACAAAAGTGCTACGATTGATTTTTTTAGTGATCGATGTAAAAAAGGTGAAAAATCCAAATAGATATAGAAAAATATTAAGTGTTTGATTCGAGGATAAAGCAACATTAAACCCCATGTACTGGTGATACATCATAGTTTATGCATAAACTCATCAAAGCAGCTAATGTTCTTTTATTGATGGTAGGTTGGAGTGAGGATTAAGGTGGTGTCAAGTACACCTGGCAGTGTTGTGGCGGCTGAAGCAAGGCGCAACGGGGCCAACTGGGTTGTCCTGGACAAGTAATTACAAATAAAAAAGTATTTTCTTATTTCTGAGCTGCTAATATAGTAATTGGTTGGTCAGTATTAAGTTGTCTGCTCTTTTGTATCCTTTGGCCAGCAGTATTAATTGTAGCCACGCTCCATAGAATTCAGTTGAAGTTAAAGGCAACCAATCATTGTTAGATAATGTTTGGTAAATGACACTAATAGGCAATTTTATCCTTGGGTTCCTGGCTAATCCCACTTAAATTGGTTGTCTTTTGGTTTGGATTTTTCAATCCTATTTCCTTTAGGATTGAACACCACAGTTATGTTCTGATGATACCTGATTGATATTTGCTCCTGGCAAATGATAGAAGTTTAAATGCTGAATGATAGTATTATTGTTATTGTTGTGAACGCTGGTAGAAATTCGAATCGTTTCCAACTGTATATTGATAAAATTACTGTGTTGTATTCTTATTTGGCATATGGTAACAGCGAAGAAAAGTTTTAAATACCAAGAACTTTTATAATCTTCGAGTGACATCAATTTTCCTCCTTTGTTTGACTTGGGACTACATGCTTGATGAGTTTCAGTTATGTTATTGACATGTTGCTAGCGTTGCATATTGACAGGCATGCAAACTTTGGTTCTGCTAAAATTTTGTGGTTTAACTGCTCATGTAAAATTACTGGTTTTGTCAACCATAATGATAATCATAACTATAAATAATAAATCAACAGTGTTTCGTTATTCACTTCTGAGCACACTGAGACTTAAAATTAAAGGTTGGTTAATATCGTGTCTTATTCTGCTAATACAGAAAACTCAAGCGAGAGCTGAAACATTGCATAGAGGAACTTCGCTGCAACATTGCTGTAATGAAAGGTGCTCAAGCAAAGGTTCTTAGGCTTAACTTGGGATGCTCGAATGCAGTCCAAACCCCATACTATTCTCCTGCTTCTTCACCAGAAAAGGATGTTGGAAAGCTACTAGGACACAGGATGAAGCATTCTACTCCTGTGAGCAGCCCTGAAGAACCAAGTACTTCTTACTCAAGAACCAGAGAAGGTTCGTCACCGCCAAGCTATGATACGGAAAGGCCTCTTTTTCTTGTTTATGAACAAAATCCTCTTTTTGAAGGACTAAATAAAGGAAAATATACATTAAAAGGTGATCAAAAGATCTACGATAACCAACTTAGAGCTATGTATTCAGATGGCGAAACAATTATCTCTCTGTCAACAAACCCAATATCATCTGTAACCAGGGATCAGAAGAGTGTATTTTGGATTCCCCAAAACCACATTGTTGACGAGAAGGCCCCCATAACCCGAAATTGCAGAAATACATGCAAAATTAAATCTCCAACTTCCAGAACTCTACTTGATAAGTTTGTGCAATATGATCAAGATGCTCAGGCTGGTAGGCTCAACCAGAGTAGTCAAAAGGAGATTGTAAGCTCAGGTATCAGACATGCAGTTTCTTTGGGCAGAACTTCTTCAATGCCCCCTCCTTTATGTTCTTTATGCCAACACAAGGCACCAACTTTTGGAAAACCTCCAAGACAGTTCTCTTATGAAGAGCTGGAAGAAGCTACAGAAGGATTCTCGGATATGAATTTCTTGGCAGAAGGTGGTTTTAGCAATGTTTACAGAGGGGTGTTAAGGGATGGACAGATAGTTGCAGTGAAGCTCTTAAAGTACGGCGGCTCTCAAGCCGATGCTGATTTCTGCAGGGAAGTAAGGGTATTGAGCTGTGCACAACACAGGAACGTTGTGTTGTTGATTGGCTTTTGCATTGATGGCAAGAAGAGAGTATTGGTTTACGAGTACATATGCAATGGGTCATTGGACCTCCATTTACACGGTAGTCCCTATTTTTGTCTTTGTTTAGATCAAGAATAGTGCCATACTTCTGATAGTTTTCTGAATTTTTGTGCTCTCAATATCCACCGTTAGTGTGTGCATACTCCTGGCTTCTAAATTTGGCTCAGTAAAAGGACTAACTCTTTGACTGAACTTCTATGATTTCAGGAAACAAAAGAGCACCTCTAGATTGGAACTCAAGGATGAAAATAGCAATCGGGACAGCAAGAGGTGTACGATATCTTCATGAAGATTGCAGAATGGGTTGTGTGGTGCACAGAGATATGAGGCCTAATAATATCCTCGTAACCCATGATTTTGAACCTCTGGTACAAAACTTGATCTTTATTTTCTTAGAAGCATTAGCTTTCATTATTATGTTACAAGGATCATGTTGCCATCTTCTTCAAATGTACCTGATTATAATTTGTAAGATTCATGCCCTGCTTGTATGAAAAAAAAAAACCCATGCCCTGCTGAACCAAAATGGGAATGCCCAAAACCTTGGCTTTTTTTTTTTTTTTAATTGTTATTATTCCGGACAGATTATGCCCAAAAACTATGACTTAAATTCCATGTAGACTCTTGTTGCAAATCTATGTTGTTGTTTAAAGCAAAATTAGATCTCGTTTATGTACAGTCCTTTATGGCATGATAGACTAATTATCACGAGGATGGCAACATTGATGGAATATGCATCGTACCTGTTTTGTTTTAGGTTGCTGATTTTGGAGTTGCTAGGTGGCACACTGAATGTAATATCAGTAGCGAGGAGCGAGTCATCGGAACTTCAGGGTACTTCTTACATAACCTGTTTTTTTCTTATGTTCAATTCTGTTGAATTTTGAATTTATGCTTAATCTGCAACGATTTCATCATGACTTGCCTAAATCCAGGTATCTCGCATCGGAGTATATCAATAGTGGAAAAATTACAGAGACAGTTGATGTATTTGCATTTGGAGTGATTTTACTAGAGCTAATGACAGGTCAAAGAATCTGCAAAAAGGGACGGAATTTTTTATCCGACTGGTTCCACCCTGCATTAGAACCAAGTCATGTCTTGGAAAATATTTATGAATTACTAGATCCATGTTTGGCCTCAGAGCAACTCCCTGAATTTGCCTATCAACTACAAGCTATGGGCCTAGCCACTTCATTGTGCCTCCATCAAGATCCAAAAACCAGGCCACCAATGTCAAAGGTATGCTACCTTACCATTATTTTTTTATCTATTTATGACATATATGGTTTGCTTTTAACTGCACCTATAGCATCCTCTGAAGTGAAGAGTGACTACATATTTCTCATAGCTGCGAATTATCAGGTCCTTAGGATACTTGAGGGGGTGATTTGGCAGTTCCTCTAAGCTTAGACTTGAATTTAGTTGGCAATAGAAGTGGCCATCTGCGTGGTCTGAGCCCGCACACACAGCCTGATAGGAGGACCGGTCATTCTCGTAAGCTTTCTCATTGAAAATTGATTTTGCAGTGGTTAGCACCAAACCTATATGTGCAATGATATCGGGCTCTGGAGTGAGGAGATCTTTTGTTATATGTATAGTTCAGAACAGTTCGGCTCTTCCATCAGTGAGTTGCTTTCCCAGTTCAAGCATGTTATTGGTGACATGATTCTTTGCCTTTCCCAGATGATCAAATTCTTTTATCAACGTCATCATTTTCCAGAAATGTGTTAGTAAGTGTCATGTATACGTCCATTACTGATTCGCTATTGTCTTGATTATAAATTGTAAATTGATGAAAATAGAAGTGATGATAGCGTTCTTCTGTGTTTTTGCTGCTCTATTTAACTCCACGTGCTACCAATGGTGCTTTCTTGTTCACATGCATGTGTTTCCCATGTTCACTCACCAAGTTAATATGTTAGTACAATAAAGATGTTGAAGGAAAAACAAGAGGTGACTCAGATGAGAGGAGTCATGTGCCATCAAAAAGTTGAAGTTTAGATTTATTAACACATTGATCCCAAGAGAACAAAAAAATCAAACAAGGATCAAAACAAAAAGGATTATGCCAAACGAGTCCTTAGAAAGGGTTGTTAATCGAGATTGGCCGTAAGTCAATCCGTAGACCTGTCATCATTCCTCTTTTGAATCGATTATCCTTCGACCAAAATTGCTTTGATCCACCATAACCAATCAATAGCCTACCACTAGATTCATCATTCCCAACTAGTTAGGGAAGAAGATGATGTCGGAGGAGGAAGAAATTGAGAAGAGAAGGTTGACGACTCGATTTGATTGTGTATCCGCTATTATTGTCGTTTTTCGATCAAACCGAGCAACTCTCACCATCACAAAATTGTCCCTTATCCTCATATAAGTTGTTCCCCTATAAAATCACGAAAAAATCTCATCGGAGTTGGTTGAATAAAAAGAAGAGGAACCAATTGATCCGTTTACCTTTTTCTTCTAAACCCAACCAAATCTTTGATTTGACTAAACCGAGCCTCCTAAACATTGTAGAAATGCTCCACGTGGTCCTCCGACCAGCTTGGTGGTCTCACCTTACCTCATCGTGGTCGGAATCTCCATTAGGAAGAGAGGGAGAAACGATCAAACCTTTAACGACATTGATCTCCCTCCTCCTCCTCCATCGATAGCTACCACCACCATGGAACGACCAGCGAGGACCTCCTTCATTATCTAGGCTGGTCAACGCGTTTGGATCACATCAAATGGTGACCAAAGTAAGTGGCGATAGTTTCGAGGGACAACTTTATAATTTTTACATATAGAGGCATTTTTGTAATTTTACCCCTAAAGGCATTTTGATCATTTTTCGGTAGCTTCGCAAGAGCATTTTGATCACTTTTTAGTGATCATTTGGTTTGTTTTTCCTACCTATTTATTTTTTAATTAGTTTATAATGTTGTTTTGTAATAATGTTAATTTTTTTTTGTATTAGAAAATTAGAAATATTTAGGTTGTGAAATTTATTATAATGTATGGAGTTTGATTCGATTGTGATGTTGGACCAATGAGTCTCCTATTTATTAGAAATGGATGATGGTTCGATATATTTGTTTAGTATTAAAAATACTAATAATAATGAGTTAAGTTCGATCAATTTTATTCAATATTTCATGTGTGTGTGTGTGTGTGTGTGTAGAGAGAGAGAGAGAGAGGCCTAGGATGGTTTAGCCCATCCGTTATGAAAATGAGCCAAGTATATGAGTTGCATATGGAATGGTAGGATTACATGACATTGGTCTAGTTAGCTTAGGATTGGGTTTTATTTGGGCCAAGAGTGTTGGAATGTTGGGCCTTCGAATAGACATGATACATATATATTAACACATACACCTAAGGCTCATAGAAGAACTAATCGTTAGGATTTGAATCCGTGACCTCTTGTAAGAGACCACTACCATTGGGCTATAAGCTTTTTTATCACACAAATATTTTTAGTTAATTAGATCGTTTCTCGATATGTTAATTGTATTAGGAATATAAGTCGAATCTAATACTAAATTAACGAGACTCCTAAATTTTAGCTCGATGTTAATTTATTATAATGCCACGAGAAAAAAACAAAAAAAATATATTGATAATGTTTTCCTCGCGTAACTCAAAATAAAACATAAAATGAACAAAAAAGAAAGAAACCATTTTAAGCAATTTTAACGAGTTGCTTATCCGAGTATGAATTGATGTTAATTCAAAGTCAATCACATTTTAGTAATTAGACTATTCTCCGACATACCTGGTTATGTCGAGACATAAATTGGATCCGATGTTGGATTGACGAGACTTTTGATGTCGAGATCCGATGATCGATTCAATATAACATCACAAATAAATATTAAAAAATTAATTTAAATTTGATAATAAACTTGAAAATTGACTCAAAAATATTTTGGCAAAAATATAATCTTTAAGAGAAAAACTTTTAAACCAAACGTGGTACTTTTCCTTGAAAAGAATGCCTTAGAGTAATTGATATCTTTCCAAAGATATAACCAATTCTTTCCCTCCAAAATCTCTAAACCAATGTCAATTTTAGGTTCTTAGTTTTTTTAATATTAGGCGGCAACTTCAAAAACTTAGTTTAACTCACATTCCCAAATAAAAAAATTTTAACTTATTATTTTTGGAAGTCTCATGAGTTTTGTAATGTCTCCTAATACATATAGTCATGCGAGTAAGCAAAATCATCCCATTCATTCCTAATTATATTACAAAAAAAGTGGTTTCAAATTTTTTTCCTTGCATTCCCTATATAAAATTCTTACGGATATATTCACAACAAATTTCACCTCCATCAACCACCTTTACTTTTACGAGTCGAGTTGTAGTTAACTCACGCCTATATTTTCTTACAAACTCCAAATCTATAAAATTATGAGTACTTCTTGTATCAATTAAAATTTTCATCTTTTTTCTTAAATTCTCCTATAACCTTCATATTTTGATATTGCCCCCTAAAAAAAAAAAAGAATGCATGTAAGTAGATTTGATACAACTATCCTCCTAAATTTCCCATACCATCAAAATATTCCACATTACCATTTTTCCCATTTATTTCTCCTTCATGCTCAACTATTCCACCTTCATCTACCTCCAACATGAACATATGTCTTTCTTTACATTTATGACCAAAAAAGTACATGTCATCATAATAATATCACTATTTTTTCAACCGCCTCTCATCTAGTTCGTTATTGTTAGACAATTTCGTAGTCCTAAACATATAATTTCCACTCTAAAACCAATGTGATAGAGTTAGTAAACCATTTAAGTTATTGTTCAAGTTTTGGGAAAAGTTTATTGGTGTTTGTTGGTTTGGAGAATTTGAAGTCATAGGGATATTGATAGCATTAGACCTTTGAGTAATCATGGAAAAGTTTGGTTAGGTTTTTGAAGGAACAGTGAAGATTTTTTTATGTTTAATTTATTAGGAAAGTGATGAATGTTTACGTTAGTCTCTTGTAATTTTGCAAGAGCTACTGTCTGTCTTCAAAGTTTTAGGCCTCATTATCGTTACTTGGTACTTATAATTCAACCTTAAGACTACTTACAAAATAGCTAACAATATAATTTTTAGGTAATGTCGGTTTGTTGACTATTGTAATAAACTTTCTAAGAAGAGATTGAGGATTCTTAGTATGTCTTAATGTCATTAATTCTATTGTAGGATCACTAAATTTCATAGCTTTAAACGAATGCCGGTAGTCATGCTAATTTAAACAAACATTAGCCCCATGCATCCTAACATATACTTGATTCATTCTAAAGCCCTTCCTCCTAAATGTATAGCAAGCTAAGTTTACTTTTGATTTATCAAGTGTCCTATTTATCAAAAAAAAATTCACACCTAAAAACTCACCCTTCAAAATCTTCTCCATTAGACTTAAGAAATTCCACCCTAAACATCCTAGTATTGTATTGATACTCAAAATTTTCTCCTTCATAACCATTTTTCATAGGATACCCATAGTCCGGCCTTATAAAGCTCTCCCCATCTAAGTTCTCAATTCCTTCGATATTATTGTCATGACTGTGGTTATTGACCATTTCATCAATTATTAGACTTTCGAGTCCTTTCACAAGTTCTTTCAATTCAACAATATCATTGCCATGCCTTCTAAATAAAATACTACATCTATAAAAAAATTTCGGTGATGACCTTCGAGAGATAAGCAATGGATTCTTCTATTTTTTTTAAATCTATATTTCTTTTTTCCATTATTATTATTTTTTCTCAAATTCTTCACATGTGCTAAAATCACCACTCCGCTACCAATCGATACAATTCTCCAATTCAACAATGAATAACTTAAAGTAAATTACAAAGACTACAATGAATATGAATGTAAAAACCTTTATTTATGAATTAAATCAACAATACAATCACAATTCAAGTTCATTTGAAACAAGAAAGAAGATAAAGAAATTCAAAAAGAATTTCCGGAAAGAAAACACAAAGAGAAGATATAGTTGTTGAGAAATCAAGAATACAATTTTAAACTTCTCTCTCCCTCATTAATACACTAGTCGTTAGAGACAAATCTAACTAACTAATCTAACAACCATCCACGCTATTATTTTTTCGATTCTCATATCTCCAATTTGTTCATATGTCTTCCATCTGTTTAAAAGACTCTATATCTTTGCCACATATTACTCTACTGCAATTATCATGTTCGCCACGTATTACTCTACTACAACTATCATCTACAATTTAAAATCCATAGTGAATTGGGGATCCATAAACCATAATCTATTTTCCTTTTACTTGCTTGAGGAACTTCACCACTAATCTTATGCCTCGTATGATGTGACGGTTAAGGCAACGGGTTTCAATGTTATTGTTTTTGAATACCAAACATAAATTTAGGCAAACTGATTTTCTATATTTTATAAAAGAAAATCTACGAGTGATCAAGATTTCTCTATTGGCTACTTTGGTAAAAGGAGAAACTTAGATAAAATTTTCTTTAAGGGTGCATGTTGAGTATATGGTTAATAGCATCATCAAGGTATCATGTCTCATTTGGAGTTTCGACACATATATAAAAAAACACAACTATGCCCACTCTATTCAATTTGCTAAAGGTAAATCCACCATGTTTAGTTTGTCTTGCCAACTCTTTTAAGTTTTGTTGTTTATGGTTGTTGTTACCTAGGCAAGTACCTAGAAGAGATCATCATCTATAACCCTTTCATTTTTTTCCTTCGTATATGATGGGACATGAAATTCGAGCTTCTCTTAAAACCTATTTTCTATCTTGTAGCTTTCTATTCATTTGATCTAACACATTAAAACTATACTTTGTACCTTATATTTCTTATTACATAAAGGGATTATCTCTTTCATACAATAAAACTTTGAGAATACTTGTGTAATTTTAGAGACTTAGCTTTATTTCTCATATCTATAGAGTATGTTTAAACTACTAACTTAACTATCGGATCGGATTGATCATGCCTTCAAGTTGTAATACACTTATGATATTAACATTCACTTGTCACATATTTCATTATTTTTTGAAATATCGATTAACTATGCGGACCAATCATCAAACTCCCCTCTTATTGCCAAATGGAGCAATTTTTTTAGGAATCACACTTGATTTCCAACCCTATTCATTATCCATTACACAGTCAAGACAAACATGGTTGAAGAAAAAAAAACAAAGAGTAGACTAGAAAAATCTAGATAGGTGTGATAAGTTAATGTTTACCATCCGGAACGAACCCGGGTAGAAAACCCCAAACATAAGTAACAAAATCAATAAAAGGATAAAAATGGTTCTAAAAGTGCATGCAAGATCTAAAAAAGAGGGAGATGAAAGAAAACAAGGGAAGAGAAGAAAAGTAGTCGATTGATCGGGCATCGAGCTACACCATCACCATACGTTGGACTTGTCCTAATAAGATCAAGTTAACGCCACCAATCTCACCCCGATCAACCATTAGATGACTCTTAACAAGATAAAAGTGTCGAGGAACATAATCCCACACATTCTTGACAATTTTCTTTGTTCTTTTTTGTTTTAGTGTTTAAATTTTGTAGTGTCGTACATATCAATCTCTAATTTACTTAATGTACTCTAATTTCACCCTTGATTGTGAAACATATTTTCAATTAAATAGCCAATTTCAATCAATTATTAATATTATCTCCTCTACATAACATAAAATAATTTTATGGCCACTCAATCATATTTCACACCTATAATGCCAAATGACTCAAAAAGAGAGTCAATTTACTTGGCTAACATAATGACTCTTAAAAGGCATGGATGATCTGGACATTCCTTAAGAAATCCATCAATTCTTAGGAATTCTACTCTTACTAAGGAGTCCACTCCTCAAAAAGTTTATCCCTCTTTAGGGATTCCACTCCTACGTGAAAGATTCCACTCTTTAGAAAGTCCATTCTTTATATAAGATTCATCCTTTATTCGAGATTCATTTCTCCTCGAAATTCCACTCCTCATAAAATAATCCACTCTTTAAGAAGACCATCCCTCCTTAGAAACTCCACTTCTCGGAAAGTCCATTCCTCTTTAGGTATTCAACTCTTCTATAAGGAGTTCACTTCTCATGATGTTCATCCCTCTTCAAGGATTCCACTCTTTACAAAGGTGTCCATTCCTTAAGGAATCCATTCCTCCTTAAAATTCCACTCCTTCATAAGAAGTATATCCCTCCTTAGGGATTCTATTCCTCGTAAAAAAATATACTCATCAAGGAGTCCATCCCTCCTTAGAGATTCCACTTCTTATATAAGAGTCTACACCTTAAGTAATCCATCCCTCTTTAAGGATTCCACTCCTTAGGAAGTCCATTCCTTCTTAAGGACTCCACTTATTCACATGAAGTCCTTTCTCCTTAGAAATTCTAATCTTTGCCAAGGAGTCCATCCTTTATCCGAGATTCATCCCTTCTCAAAGACTTCATCCTTCCTAAAAGATTTCACTCCTAATCGAGGAGTCAACTCTTCATAGATTTCGCTCTTCCGGAAGTCTCGTTGCTTCCATAGTATGTTCATCCGAGAACCTAGTCCTTCGAGAGTTCGTTCCTCCATAAATAAATTCTTATGGGAACTCGTTTCTCCAAAAGTCCATTCCTCTATAAATATTCCTCTCGAAAACCCTCTCCTCTAAGAGTTCATTTATTGAGAATATGTTCTCTAAAGAACCCACTCCTTCAAAAGTCCATTCCACTATGAACAATTTCCTCTAAGAACTCGTTTCTTTGGGATTCCATTCCTCTAGAAATTCACGTTTCTCTAGAAGTCCATTCCTCCTAAATCACATTTCTCTAGAAACATGTAACCATGTTCGTTCGGGAACTTGAGTCATATCTCCAAAGCTCCGATCCGTCCATGTTCCATCATACAAGAAAATCATTTTATTTCAAATTGAGTGAATCTCACTTTAAAATAAAAGGGCAACTAATGTGATATGAAATTCGAGATTCCTACAAAACTCACTTTCTTTTTTGTGGCCTTATAGCCACTTAGCCCAACATAATAAAAGTATGTCTTATACCCTATATTTTCACTATATAAAAGGGTTTTTTCTCTCGTAAAACAAAACTCCTAGAACAATCACATAAGCGAGAGAGTCGGCTATTCTCTCTCTCTCTCGTATCCATAAAATATGCCTAAAATATCAATTTAAACATCAAAGTGGCCTTGTTAGAGCACCTTCCGACACTACTAACATCGATGCTTGTGCTCGATGCTCGCATGGCTTAAGAAAATACTACTATCATTTTTTCAACTCTTCAAGAAAGCTGAATACCAAGTACGGTCAATGTAGATGTCCAAAATATTGCGTATCATCAATATATACTCAGGAAAACAACCTTCGGCATGTGGCATCAAGAAGGACTAAGGTTGTGGTGTGGATTATTCATGTAGGAAAGAATTGAACAAACTTGAGGCAGACATTATAAATCAGGTACCAGAACTATTTTATGCCGCATGGATTTATCTCTCATAAGATGATTACAGATTGTGTGGCCTACTTAATTAGAGCATCTTGTTGTTAACCTATTTAATACAGAATATCTGGTAGGGCTTGAAGTTCGACTGGCATGGTAGCTAACCTACCAAATTATGAAACACTTCAGCTTTGAACCTTGTTTGACCAGACAGTCTAATAATTATGATGAACCTGCAATCATCCCCACTTGCAAAAAATCTGCAAAATTTCAATTTGAGAATACAAATCAAAAGAAGAACTTCATATCATAATATTTACTTGTCAATAGTCATTCATTCATTCATTCTAATCAACAATAGGCTTACAGGGTACCATACTACTGGAAAAATACATCCAAATTCCTCAAACTCCTCTTCCCTCTCTTATGGGCACACCCCAATATGACCATCCCCATCTCCAGACCTCTATTTTCAATCAAACCCCAGCAAGGAAGTAATGGAATTAATTCCTTGCTTCTCTAATTCACAATGTTTAATAATTAGATTAATCTTGATTACTTCTTGCAATTAAAGTTCAAGGTTCTGGAGATTAGTTCGCCCTGTTTTCACTAGCTCTGCTGCTTCCATCAGATGGCAATGAATCTGCATCGGAACCCATCTGTTGCTGATATTGCTGCTGCTGTTGCATCATGGCCATTTGATACATATCAGGTGCCATCTCAGCGACACTCCAAACCTTCACAGACTTATCCAGACTCCCACTATACACCACCCACCGTTGATCACCATCTTTGGATTTCTCATGATCCTTCTCCACCGCAAGGCACTTGACAGGTCCGGTATGCCCTGTCAACACAGACATACATGCATGAATCTTGCCATCCCTTCTCCACACGCATATGGTCTTGTCAGCTGATCCACTAAAGACCAGATTCCCTGCAGCTGAGATGCACAGAACCGCAAGCTTGTGGCCCTTAAGTACCCCACCATGGGATAACTGCTTCTCGCATTCCCAATAATTCACCATTCCGTCACTGGAACCACAGTACACAACCGAACCAGAGGGGTTCACAGCCAATGCTGTAACCGCACTCTCTTGTTTCAGCAATGTTTGAACCGGAGAATGCTTTGTCGTTTTGCCGTGTTGCTCTCGTTTCCACACTTTCACAGTTCCATCAGCGGAGCCTGTGAACACCAAGCCTTCTAGACTCGCTACGACTGAATTCACAGCATCATCATGAGCATTGATTGATTCGAGACATTTAGAGTCTGAGATTCTCCATACCTTGAAAGTCCGGTCCCAGGAAGCAGAATACAAAAGGGTTTTGTCCTCGTTGAGGGTTAAACATGAAATGGCATCAGAATGCTTGATCCAAAGAGCAGAACGGTTTCGAACTTGGACATATGAACTTGGTCTGATAGAGCTCTTGAATATTTCCTTTAAGGTAGGCAAGGTCCCTGATCTCTTGTGTATGGTTGGATTCTTTGGAGTAACCTTCCAGACTCGTATCTTGCCATCCTGGTGACCAGTGAAAATCTTCTCACCTGCAATTATTATGGCTTTCACCAAACCGCTGCTAGATTTGAATCCAGAAAACTCCTTCAAATTCTTCCACACACGAATGTTCTTGCTATCAGAACCTGTATAAAGGAGATCCTTGGTTGCAGCCAAGGAATAAATATGACCTTCTTCGCGAACAAGCGAACCAATTAGCCCATTTTGAGGAAGATTTTCTTCAAATGACCACGGAAAATTGGAAGAAGCGCCGGTTTGGTTCCATGGTGACATGGTCATGGGAGACCCCTCACAGCTCATCCTGTTAGGGTCAAAACTGCCAGGACCTGCAAAGGAAGCACTGCTATTACGATAGCCGAAAACTTCATCACGGGGTATTGCCGCTACTGTTGCTGAAAGATTTGGATCAGAATGCACAATGTTGCCGAATTTTGATCTCGGTATGCTGTTTCCTGTGTCAACAAATTTTGTGCCTATTTCTTCTTCGTCTCCCATTCTTGAGCCGATTCCTCCTCCTCCGTTTATCATTTTTCCTCGAATCTAAAGAGGGTCAATAACAAAGGAGAAATGAGAAATTGATTTGAAAATAGAAAATGGTGGTGAGAGAATTGTTGTTAACAATATTAAAGAAACTGAAGGCGGGAGAGAAGACGGGGAGTATTAATATAGATGCAAAAATAGCTGGCAAAATAACGGTAGACAAGACAAGGGACGTTGGATTTTGACACGTGTGGATGTTCAACTTTGTGATTGCTTGTAGAGACAGATTTGGGTTCCTTTACTAATAATAAACAGGGATGTTAGTTTCATTAGTTGGGAGAGGGTGTTTCCTTTCTGTGGTAGCTGCTCTGGTTGCTATTTTTGGACAACATTCCGATAAATTTGTTTTTTTTTTTTTCTTTTTACTAAGTTGTCAGTGTAATTTATTTTATGTTGCTTATTGCGATGGGAAGACTTGAAAATGTGATTACTAAAAAGGTTTTCTTGTTAGATAAAATTTGCTATATCAGGCAGAGCATGATAAGGTTAGATTAGTTGTCTTTGACAACAAAATTTGAACCAGATTAATTGCTATATTCCAGTCAATAATTGCTTTCCCAGGGTGGCAATTACCTACAAACCAGACATTAATAAAAGAATGGGCCTAAATAATAGGTAGTTTACATGTAATATATATCCTCTCTCGCATTTCTTTTTTTTCGATATTTTTTTTTATAAAATAATATCATCCAATAGTTTAAATTTTTAAATTAAAATAATTTTTTAATATAATATTGAAATTTTTATAATTAAATAATTATGAATTCAAATCTTGTTATTTTTTAATTAAAATTAAATAATTAAATCTAAAGTAGCGGTGTATCTTTAAAATTTATGCAATGTCTGGATGGTATCGGCACCGGTTTCCAGTTAAGAAAAAGTTGTGTAGCTAGTCGTTAGCCTATTGTTAAAGCCCTCGCGCTGCTAACTAGTTTCCTACGAAGGCCATTTACTTGAGACTCCAATGCAATAATTATCACTAATTGCGTGTGCAATTCTGGGTAAGCTCAAGCAACAACTCTAAAGTCATTCTTCATTATTTTACTTCTGATAATGCCAATTTCTCTTCCTCTGGCCTTCACTCTACATATTTATTTATTTCCTCATATCAGGAAGTACATGTTTAATTAGTTTAGTTCTTGAAAAAGAAAAATGAATATTGCCCAGTATTCGTCTTGGTCCACAATTGATATAGTAACAAGACACGGAGGAGTTCAATAAAGTGCTTCATGTAATTGTGACTTGTGAGGGTTAGAAGACTCTGAATATGATGGATGTTGGAAACTATTATATGTATTGGCATTATGCTAAAGAACAAGTAATGTTTGATCACAAAATGTTATTGATTTAAAACGGCACTCAAAGTATGCCCATCACAGGCCACCTAATTACATAGACACCTCTAACGTAGCTGCCTCAATGCCCAAATTCTAAGGGTGCTAACATTCACCTTGAATTATAAAATTCAAGTTATATAGGGAAAGCCATAGTTAATACGAACCTTCGCCATTAAAATCAATATTAGCAAGGTTTGATCTTGAGGCGTAAATTTTCCATGATGTATATATTTACAAAATCACGGCCCCGGCACCCCTACCCCACCCCCTTCCCCTTCCCACATCCGCAGTTACCTCCACCACTTAATTGGTTGAAATGCTAAGAAAAAAGGAGGAAGTGTAAGTGGTAAACATAAACGAGATCGTACCATTTTTACTAGAAAAATGTAAAACATAAAGAAGTGGTGAAGATGCATGATAGGCGAAGAAACAAGATCCGATATGCTTTTGCTTTCTTGAACGTGCATGCTTTTGAACAAAGCTGCAAGCGCAGTAATGTCCAACTGAAACTGCGAAATTTTCCTGCCTTCATTGAGAACTATGATGCACTGGCCATTATGAAAGCACGCACTGAATTTGCAAATGATAAAATAGATTTTTAAACCATCGTCTGCCTTTAGTTGGTTAATGGTTATAATTACAATTCACTTCATTCTAAAATAGTTGGAACTTTCTGTCTAAAAATAACAATAACAATAATAATAATAATAATAGTTGCAACTTTTAAAAATGATACTGTTTGTGATGTTTTCTTATGTTCCAGAGAACCCTACTGAAAGAAGTATTGAAAATGGGAATTAAAAAAAGTATTGAGAATTTTGATTTCAGAATTTATCTTACACCACTACTTACATACTTACGAATCATGATTGTTGGATCAAATTCCAACGGCTGAACAAAAGAATTGGTAACAATTAAAAATACCTTAAGAACGCATGGTACAAACACTTTCTATATTCTGGATAAGTAGCTAACGGGTAAAAAAAAAAAAAACGAAAAACCGAGAAAGGGAGGAATTAGTAATGAAATTTAAAAAATGTAGAGTACCATGTATGGGATATTCACTCAATAAGATAAAAAAAATTGACACCATTTCAATGGTTGATTATCCTTGAAATTCATTAAATCTATTTTATGACGTAAGCAAAGGCGCCTAACTGCCTAAAGCTAAACCAAAATTTGACCCGACAAAAATCTGTTGTAGACTTGTAGGTCTTTCCATAAAACGTAACGAATCATTCTTGTGCACGTGGCAATGGCCCTCAAGACATGACAATGCGTAAAACAGGTTCCAACACTTACTATGCAGCCGCCACGTAGTAGGATCGAGGAGTGGCGGTCTCTCTCTCTCTCTCGTTAAAGCAGCTCCATTAGCCTACGTCTGCCACCTGCTCACTGTACAATCTGAAAATTATTGGTTCAAGTACCATATAACTGACCACTGTTCCTCTACCACGTGTCCGATAGCAACAAAAAGTATGATAGCCTCATGATGCTAGAAAGCACAAACGCTGGGTATATAGTACAGTAACTCCTTGAGTAAACGGCAAGTATGATAAGGTCCTGATTCCTTAGATAAATAATGAAGCATAATGTTTTCGCCTGGATTTTTAATATTTAGTCACCACTTATTACAGCTCTCAGCTCTCCCACGTGATTATTTACGAGGGCCAAGTAATTGTATAGAACATGTAGAGTGGAGTACTGGAGTCGAGCTAATTAAGCATGCTAAAGGATCCACGACTTCCTTATTGCCGCTGTTGGGGCTAGCTGCCTAGCTATTATTGGCTTGCTTCCTCTATGATTGTATTGCATGATCAAAGTGTTGATGCAAAACACTTCTATATATATCCAATGATATTCGAGTTAGTCATGCATTCGCCTGCACGTATAATGTGTCTAGCAGGTTACCATCTCTATAACCATGTGTCTATGATGTGCCCAAATCTCCTGGATGTTTTGGGGGACATGATGAGGTTTCGTGGAACAAGATCATGGTATGATTTTAGTGTCATGACTTAATCAATGTTGGCTTCGAACGCTTGGCGATACAAGATAATTTTTATATTTTATTTGTATTTTAATCCTTCCGAATATTCGACCAATCTTTCGGCTTAGATACATACTTCATTACCATATCATGATGTAAAAATAATTTTTATTATCTGTAACTAATTACTTTTATCTGTTGATTAATTTAAAATAACAATATATGTTCTCAAAAAACTATTTACAGACATCTGAATTATTAAAATCATGATATATGCCTTGAAAATCTTAAAATATAAAACATATATTTTTTTTAATAATTAATGATATGAAAGGATTTAATTGTGGGCTAAAAAAGAAATTAAATTCAAAATCGAAATAAAATTTTTTTTTATTGACCAAAAATACATGATCAGCCTCCTATTTTTACCAACTTTCTTTTGACATACTTTTCAACCCCGTCAAACTTTGTTACTCGAGACAAAATTGGAGCACCAAACAAGATTTACTTACGTCCTATCAATTGCTGAAATAACAAAAAAATATATCATTCGACAAAATCAGTTCCTCGATACACCCAGCAAGAATATCTCCAAAGAAATGGACCAAAAATCAAAACACAATCTTGGCCCAATCTCTTTAGGACTTTGATCGGCCGTTTGTGTTTTTGTAATTTTGGTCAGTGCTCTTTTGAAAAGTAATCAAAATATTTAAATATGCCTAACATATAGAAATACCGTTACGTATAAAAAAAATCATCCATAAAAATTATATCGTTATTTGATTCAACATATAAAAAAACATAATAGATAACAATTGAACTAGCAATGGTATAAGAACAATTGAACTAGCAATAGTATAATTCTTTTTTATTTATGATAGCTTTCTTCATATTCGAATCCTTCATACTCATAATTTGTGGTAAAATGAAAAAAAAAATTATAGTCAAATCCACATGCCAATCAAATTAACCAAAATTGCAATAAAAAAAATAACATCAGAAGAAAAGGCCAAAACTTTAAAATGAAAGAAAACAAAACACCGTTGAAAAAATTAATTACAGCACCATAAAAAGCAAAGAAACAACAAAATGCATCTAGAAAATTAAAAAATTGTTTAGCGAGATAGACAAAATCAAATATAAACCTAGAGTGCAAAGTTCGACCTCCAAAGTTTAGCCCTTTAGTCACAAAAGCAAAAAAAAAAAAAAAAAAAAACAACACGAAGTCAAAACTATAAAATTAATCCAAGAAATCTAAAAAAAATAATAAGAAAGAAATTAATTGATAAAGAATATCAAAGGCACCAATATTGCACCAGTAATTAAAAAACCATCAATCGAGAATCAAGTATCTAACAACTCCAAAATACAATGATTAAATCTTTCTTAAAATAGTCAAGTTTCTTATTGATTCTAAATCATTGAAGGTAGCAACGAAAAAAAGAATAAAATTGCAAGTCATCTATAAATTTGTAATGATCATAAACCTATAAAGAAAAAAATAAGAGGACACTAAAAAAAAAAATCTCATCTTTTTCTATGAAATTATAACAAAACTCACTGCTATCTAGCATATGTCAATGACCAAAGCACATAAATAAGAAACAATGAAAAGATAAGGAATGGGACATTAAAAAAAATCTCTCTGTTTTTTTTGTTTTTTGGCAAAATCATAACAAATACACTATTATCTAGCATATGTTAATAGTCTAAGCACATAAATAAATAAAACATCAATTAGAAAAAATGATTAAAAAATCAATGAAATCGATTATAAAGAACAAAAAAAAAAAAAAAGGCAAATGAATTATTAAAAAAAAGTGACCAACAATCTATTTTGTTTTAAAAACATCAATCAAACTATTACATAAAACAATTAATGTATTTTAGAGTATCAGAAAATTACAACCAAGTCAGTAGGGTAAGTTAATAGATTAACAAATTAAAAGAATATAAAATCACCTACCTTGTAAGCAGTCCAATTTAGCCAAGTTTCATAACAACATAAAAGAAAATTGTAGTCAAACTTATAATAAATAAATAAATAAAAACTCAAATGAAAATCCCAAGCAATTGCATATCCTGGTATGTGCATCCAAGAGTTTTTTCTAGCATGATCATCACCATTGTTGATTCTCGTCATTCAAAAGTTTTGATTCCATTTGATTTTCATATTCAAACACAATGCAAGTAAAAGAAATAAAGAATTTGTATGACGAATGAACAATAATCCAACAAAGTTAAACTTTTATTTCTTCTATTACTCAAAAGCAAGAAGAGAGAAAGAGAGAGACATTATCTTCATTTAATTTTTTTTTTCCCTAGTATGGACTGGTAATAGGAAAAGAGTGGGTTGGTAAAATTGGAAGATAAGATTAATTAAGTGGCAGTTAATTATTGGTTATGGAGATTACATTATCTTCATTTAATATTTAACAAATTAGAGATGGAAAAGCAATTTGTTTTAATTTTTTTGTACTCGTCAACAAGCCCCTCTCTTGACTCGTTGAAAAAAGAAAACATAGCTGAAAAAGCAAGCTATGATAGCTGCATTTAATGCTCGGTGAAGAAAAGGAAGTAAATAACAAAAAAGGATATTTAGCAATAGAACATACCACGCCAAAATGGACACAGGAAAAATTAGCTAAAAAAGGGAGGAGTGGCAGAAAAGAGTGCAAACCTAGTAATAAAAAAATGATTCGCACAAGATCATCTTTGTCCAACAAAAAGAAAGAAAAAGTATAAGAAAAGAAGGAAACAAAGAAATTCAAGCCACCTGCTTTAAATGTCTTACTAATGAAATAACACAAAGATACTTGATGGCATAAACTAGATAAAAAAGCAAGAAAGGGAACGATGAGGGGGAAAAAAACATGTTTTCAAAGGACAAACTGAGAAATTTTAACATAAAAAACTTACGTTCAAAGAAAAAGCACTGCAAATCAACGAACTAGATCGAAGAAAACAAACATTGACATAAATTGATAGACGATGGAATGATAAACAACAAATAAACAAACTGAACAATCGTATAAATCACAATACGGAATAGCTCTAAATGTTGCTTTATAGTAAATGAATGATAAATTATCAAATTCTTTTATTTTTTTTTAATTTAATACGAGCCATATATATATAACAAACGCAAGATATATATCTTGCGTTTGTCCTTTTCACAAATTAAAAGACCGTAGTAGATCACCATTTTTTTTTTTTTTTTTTTTTGCATACAGAAGAAGAAGAGTGGAGACGTAATGATATGGTACGTGATAATCAATCACAAACATAGCATGATCAAGGTAACCACTTATATGAAAGAAAAACATGATACAATCAAAGTCTTTTGTTTTTTCTTAAAATGGAGATGATAATCAAAACCTTAATCGTGGGAATCAGATTCCCTAAGTGGTACCATAGCAGAGGGAGATAGCTAGTGTCACTGTATAAGAAATATAATATCTGTTATCAGTTAACTAAGAGAAAACAACAAAGCCCATTGATATGAGACAGAACGAATAAAAGAAAGCCCAATCAGATTAAAAAAATCCAGACCATTTTAAGCATCAAGCAAGTCATCCATTCACCGACTTCCTACTGAAAAACCAAAACCAAAGCTCCAAAGCATGGATTCTTTCCCAGGCAGGCAACCTCGAACCCACCAAACCGACCATATCTATGCCCACTCCTTGCTCTTCTATAAATATACCAACACCGAATGGTCACAATCCTCTGTCACTCACTTCCACCTTTCTCTATCTCGTCAAGATTCTTTTTTTTATTTGTTAATTTGCTGTACCTTGTAGTAATGTCTTCTTTAGTGTCTAAAACCCAATCTACTCTCTCAAAATCTGAAAATATCACAAGCAACACCAACACTATTAAAGATCAACAAGACCCAGAAATCTTTAACTCCGTGACTAGCTTTGTCTATCTAAAACCAGTACACTCAACTGAAACACTAGCTAAAGAGGAGGTTTTGAAGAGGATACGACAACGCAAGCGCGTGAACAAGGTTCGAGGTAGTCTGCAAGGCTTTCTTGGATGGTTGTTTTCGTCGAAAAGTGAGAATAAGGTCTCTGTCAAGTGGGTAGATGATGCTTTTGCTGCACCATGATCCCTCCTCGCAAATTAAATAGCTACTTCATGTTTTATAGTGCAGGAATTGATGTCCTTTGTGGGTAGAATCGCGGGGAACTAGTGGTGTTTTGTGTGGGGAAATCAAAGATTCAGTCTCTTGATTTGTACAGGAAGATCATATCAGTACTGGGATCCAATTCCTTTGTCCTCTCTTATTTTTACGGGTTTTTTATTTTTTATTTTCCCTCTTTTACCTTGTAGCGATTTCTCTTATTCTTTTACTATTCCACGGCATAAGTTTGATTTTGGGCTTGGCAGCTAACAAGTATTTCCTTAGTTTAGAGCTTCATTCCGTCTAGCCTTTACTGGCCCAAATTGAACTATTACAATTTAAAAGGTCTATTGGCTCCAAATGTCCTTAACACCTGCGCATATAGGGCAAAAGATTCCTTTATTTTAAGGGGATGTGTTTTACTTCTTAAAAAACAAGAAGAAAGAAAGAAAGAAAAGGATAAAGATAAGTGGGAGGATGTTATAGCTTTATGGCAAACCAAGACTAAAATTAAAATCTTGGGCTAATACTCGTGGGCATCTACGAACTTTACATGAAAGTTATAACCAAAGATGCAAAGCAAAGTTGCTTTTATTTTTTAAGACGTTCACTCTTTTTTACGAGACAAATCACTTTGCAAAATTGTGAGAATCCTGCTTTTAATGAAGCATTATCTGTCAAAACATAATAATATTTGAAGATAAGTGCTGAAGAAGATATTGAACACCAATCATTTCATGCGAGATATAATTGCACCTTGTTTTCTTCCAACTCAACGGTGGTTGAACTTTACCCACTTGCACTTTTGGATGCAAGATAGATTGGGCTAGTGGACCTGCAGAAAATCACTATCATGGGTTGGGTCCAGTATTATCCTCCTTTGTTTTGTTTTTACTGGGATCCACATGGCCGATATGTCAAGGTCAGCAAGCGCTCCCACTAAAGGGGTTTTAAATGAAAATCATTTATTGGTTGTTTATTGTACATGGGAAAATAAAAATCATTTATAAAAAGAGTAAGGTCTTTTTTTTTTTTTCGTTGACTAATTTTTCCAAAACTTATCAAACATGAAAAAATATTTCTGAAAAAATTATTTTCCAGAAACACACGCTTCCTAATCTATACCAGTATGCTACATGCGATCTTCAATTTTAATATTTTATTTATGATTAGAGCTAATCTTTCTTCTTGAAAAAAGAAAAAAACATTATTGATATCTTTTAGACTTTATTTCCATCGTCAATCGACTTTGACACAGAAAAAGCACAATATGCTTGAATAACTATTATTCTTGACGTAATCATTATTATTATGCCTTGTCCTAATACGATCATTTCGTTACAACTTGTTAGTCAAGTTTTAATCCTAAATTTTATACACGATAATCGAGATACTCTCTCTCTCTCTCTTAACACTGGTTGGTCTACTGACTACTCATGCATGAAGAGTAACGAAAAAAGTGCAAGCAAATTCATCTCCTAGGAGAAGAAAGAAAATCAAACCTTTGACTAGTTTGGAATTTTTTTAAAAAAAATGATAAATGTCAACATAAAACTTAAGAATATAAATGTTATAATATGCAACACCTCTCTCAGAGTTGAAGTAATCCGCAGCCACGGAAGTGAAGAGACGAGGGATAGACGGATCAATAATTGCATTGGTCATGATCGCATTTGAAATTCAACCAAGCAAGGCCTGGCTTATGGGAAACATATTCAATTATTGCATCGGTCGTGATAGAGCATCTAACATAGCTCCATGTAGAGTCAAATTCTTTTCTGTCAAATGGTTATACTATTTACTGATTAATGACTGCAATTACTTATGCCCAATAATTGCTGGTTAATATTATTAAAGTTAAATCACATTAAAGATAAATAAAATTGCTAGCTAGGGCATAGTTATTACATATATAAAAAGCACTTTTCGCGCATGAAAGGGTTGCTTCCCTAATTTCAGGCTTTGACCACATACACTGTAATGACTTTTGATGCTGTTTTTGTTGTATAATACCGTTTAAGAAGCAACCACCGATGAAACTTTTAACCACCCGATTACGACAAATGAGAGAATTAACGTTTTGCCCGGACATTGAACGTGACAAATTCTTATTCAATAGCAATAATTGTTGTTATAATTCCATTCAAATGGAGTAAAACAAGGCTGATTTACATCAAATTTGTCCCTTTATAGTGCGGTCTTCTCTCATGGAATTTTATACACGCCGGCGTTCGTTTTCGTGATGTCCTTCTCTGGTACAGAAAAGAGCGGAATATTTTCTAATCCCTTAGTTCTAAATGAAGTTATAACTTAGTCCTTCATCTCTGAAATCTATAACTTCAACCCTTCGATCTCATTGTCCTTTGTTGGTTTTTCTCTCTACATCTTCACCCAATTGGCGTCTCTCTCTTAAGAATTTAAATTTTCCAATTGATTCCTTTAAGATTTAGAAAAAACTAAAGATGTTTTAATATGACAAAAAACAACAAGAATCAATATCGATCAAGGAACTAAGTTATAAGTTTTCAATGCAGACCTAAATTATAATTTCATTCGATACCCAGTGACTAAAGAATAGCTTACTCTAGGGGGAAAAAAACGATCACATAAAAAGAAATGGCACAAGTGGAGAATAAAAAAAATTAAAAAAAGCAGGTTAGGTTGTGTAAAGATGTACTACTATACATGCTGAACTTTGAAGCTCGAGTGAGAATAATTTTGATCTTGTAAGCAATCGCGTATGTGTAGTCAAAATGATCAACGGTGTTGGGGTGTGAAAATTGTCTAAAATATGAAAAACATTCGATGTGTATTTATCTTGTGTGGAACCTAAGGGCTAATGGATGGTCACGGGAAAATTGTTGTGTTTTTCAAGGGGATGGTCCCACAGCTGCAACCATCCTTATTAAATAACCTTCAGTGGCTGACGAAGCAATAAATTAAAAATCACTACATTATTTTCAGTATATTACTAATTATTGAGTTAGGGTAAGGATTAAAGAATGAAACGTATAATTAAGATATTGATACCCCGTTGTAGCGTTTCATTCAAGGCACGCGTTTGAAGTAGGTATGGTCGTAAAAATCTTGATTCCTATCTTACTGATTTTCTACTACTGTTTTTTTTTTTCAATTTTTTGTTCCCTCAATTGGCATTTGCCGTTTGATAATAGGACGACTGACCATTAATTCCACGTTCACTCATTATGTTCCATTGACTCTTAATCACAATTTTCGACAATTTATTCGGTCTAACACTAGAAGATTTAAAAACATTCAATTAAGTTTTACCAAAAAGGCTTGAATTTAAGGGTAAGTTAAAGAAACAAATTTTCTTATGAATCCATTAATTTGGATTTGAAAACCTGAATCAGAAAAATATTTAGTCATTATGCATAAAAATTGGCTTGTAATATATCTTAACTCTTAAAATCAAATAAAGAATAAAAAAAATTATAGGATCAAATGCCCTCCTTATAATTTATTAGTTTTTTTGTTCAAAAATTCAACGTGAAAAATAGTCGTTTTAGGGTTAAAAAAAAGGCCTGTACAGACTCTAAAGGAGTTTTTGATGCATAATCCCCCCCCCCTTTTTTTTTTTACGTTCATGTATTTGTACTTATCACCCTGTGTTAATTTTGCTTTAGAGTAAGAATTAAATGTGAAAGAAATTAATTATCTGCTTCAACTTCGGCTTTATATATATATTAACAACTCCATCTTCTTTTACTTCCAAAAGGAAAGCTAACAAGTACAAACTAATATTCCTTGAAACCAATTGACATATGATTTTTTTTTCCCCCCAGATAAAAGGTGAGGAATTATTCATATATGTATAAAGAAAAGGGTATTCTGATTTTTTATTTTTTATTTTTTTCCCTATGGTGTAGTCTCAAACAAGATTAAACCGTTGAAGGATGTTTTGGTCACTTGGTAATGAAAAATGTTTCATTCGGAAGTGTATTTCATCAACAGAAGTACTAGAAAAGGACAAACAGAAGTGTGAAAAGAAGAAAACTCTTTTCTTTGCATCTCTTCCTGCATTAGATTCCGTAGTTTCATCCATTCCTAAATTCATCAGTCAATATCAAACATTAGTACTATTGTCAAAGCATAATACAGTAACTCAACCTTCTACACCTGTCCTCAAGATTTTTGCTTCTAAAAGTCGCACACAAAATCTTTCAAGAATTTCCATTTTCTTATCCATTATGAACTACAGACTCCTTGTTGTTCATGTCTTTCATCTTTGAACACTACCTCTTTCATTTCCCAACTTTTTTTTTTTTTTTTTTGGCCTGTGATTAATTTGATTTGAGGCCTGCGAAATAAAAATATGATCCTACAAAAACATACTATCCTCTTCTTAGCAATCTTTGTTATTTCATTAATCCAAGCTCATGCATCCATCAAGTTCGTCTGCAACAGAACATGTGGCACCAACCATCTTCCATACCCTTTTGGATTCTCTGCCGATTGTGACATCCATTTAAATTGTAGCCCAAATGGTGAAATGCTTGTCAATGAGTTTCCAGTCCAGATTATAGGCCAAGATACAATAAAGATCAATCTTGAACCCAAATGTGACCGTCCTCTCCAAGCCCTATACGATCTTTCTACCAAAAACTATGCTCCAAAATCAACAAACGCAATTCTTTTACACAACTGTACCTCTGCATTTTCACCATGCAATATACCTTCCATAAACGTGCAGACTCATTTCGAGTCAATTAATTGTTCAAACAACAGCAGCTTAAGTTGTTTTTCTAACGTAGATACAGCAAATGGATTCTTTGATTATAGCATGGCCAATATTAGCCAGTGCCAGTATCTTTTGTCATCGATATCAGCAGAGTCTTTCACTGGTCCTGGTGTTTCCTTAGAGATTCAGATGATGGAGCTATGGTGGTGGCTTCAAGGGGATTGCCGTTGCTCTAAGGATGCCATTTGTACTCGAGTTGAATCGCCTGCAGGATCAGGATTTCGGTGCCAGTGCAGAGAAGGACTAATTGGTGATGGATATCTTGCCGGGGTCGGCTGCCGGAAAGGTCAGTTTTGGTTGCCAGAACTTACTAATTACCAAATTATGTTAATGCATACAGTATGTCTCTTATGTCTTTTCTTTTGTCCGTAGCTGCTTAAAGGTCAAAGATTAGTTTTCTGATCACATCATATGGTCCTGTACTCTATTTAAAATAACTGTGATTATAACTAAATGATCTCAACATTTTTGTTTTGATTGAAAAGGCCATGAGTTTATAAACATTAAGGAGTTGTTTAAAAAAGTAGTTTCAGCCAACACATCTCAGGGCCCTTAAGGTATTCTAAAAGATGCCCACCTGTGGAGGAATGTAATTGTGCTCATGTCTTTTGAGCCTTGGAAAATTTCCAATTTAAACATAGCGGAGGGAATGATGGTTTGAATTATTTTGTGTCAGAAAGAAAGGTTCTGTTCAAACATGAAATAGTTACTTGATGATGGACTAGATTTGGAAGTGTTGATTAAGAATAAACGAGAGATCTAGTGCCTAGAGATTTCGTCGGTTTGTAATAACATAGAGCGAATTGTCAATGATAAAAGGCTTGAAAGCATTAAATGGATATTTCTCCTACAAATTCTTTTAGTTTTACAATGATAATTTCTGTTTTTTTTATGTTTTTATATGAATACTAGGAAACCTCCATGTTACGATTTTACTGATGTGGTTTCTGCGATGTTAAAGCTTCAGGTTGCAATCCTGCAAAGCATTTGTCTGGCCAATGTGGAGGGGGGCTAGAGGAGCTGTTTTACTTGGAGGTAGTCAATTCTTTTCATCACCTATAACTTTCCTGAAGTATTCAGAAAGAATAATTCATTAATATTCAATGTGATGAAAAGAATGTTTAGGCACTAGTAGGGAGTAAATGCACTAATCTTCTGCAAATGCTGGAGTCGAGAGAAATTTTGTTTTATCACAACAGATACTGCAGTCCTAAATTTTGAAATTCTTTCTCAGGCATTGTAGCTGGAGTTGGTGTCAGTCTGGGCCTATTTTGCTGTCTCATACGGAGGAATTCCACTTCAAAAGTCAAAAACTTCAGAAAACTCCACCTAGCTGAAGCTGCTGACATCAGCATTCCTATCTATCCCTACAAAGAAATAGAGAAGGCCACCAATAGTTTCTCAGAGAAACAAAGAATTGGAACTGGGGCTTATGGAACTGTTTATGCCGGAAAACTCAACAGTGATTCATGGGTTGCCATTAAGAGGATCAAACATAGAGACATGGACAACATTGAGCAGGTCATGAATGAAATCAAGCTTATTTCTTCTGTGAGTCACCCGAATTTAGTTCGCCTCTTAGGTTGCTCCATAGAAAATGGTGAGCAAATTCTTGTCTACGAATTCATGCCTAATGGGACATTGTGCCAGCATTTACAAAGAGAAAGAGGCGATGGACTTGACTGGCCAGTTCGCCTCGCTATTGCTACTGAAACTGCTAAAGCTATAGCCCATCTCCACTCTGCTATTGATCCCCCGATATACCATAGAGATATCAAGTCGAGCAACATACTTTTAGACTACCACTTCAAGTCCAAAGTTGCAGATTTTGGTCTTTCTAGACATGGCATGACTGAAATATCCCACATCTCTACTGTCCCACAAGGAACTCCAGGGTACCTTGATCCTCAGTACCATCAAAACTTCCATCTTTCAGACAAAAGTGACGTTTATAGCTTTGGTGTGGTTCTCGTTGAGATCATAACAGCGAAGAAGGTGGTGGACTTTTCTAGGCCTCAGAATGAAGTGAATTTGGCTGCTCTTGCTGCTGACAAGATTGGCAAGGGGCGATTGGATGAGATCATAGATCCATTCCTTGATTTACATGGTGATGCTTGGACCTTTTCTTCAGTTCATAAAGTGGCAGAACTGGCATTTAGATGCCTCGCATTTCATAAAGACATGCGGCCTTCAATGATGGAAGTTGCAGCAGAATTAGAGCAAATAATGCTTAGCAGATGGGCATCCTCAGATGAAATAAATTGCGCAACTTCATTAGAATTTTCCCCTTGCTCTTCTGCATCTAATGTCAGCGAGAAGCCTCTAAACTTGACAGTCAGAAAAACAGAAACAGAGAGAAGAGGTTTGTTCATGCTGCAGACACGGGCCAGTAGAAAGTCAACGGAAAGGGTCGACCATAATTCACCTGTTTCTGTTCAAGATCCATGGTTAAGTGAACAAAGCTCACCTTCGTCAAGCAGTTTGCTAAATAACGTTACAGTGAAGTGATTTGATATTCATTTCATTCTATGATACCATCAGTGTATGGGATTGTGTTGGTAATTGCTTCATTGAATCCACCAACAGCCCTATGACAATGGTGGCAAATGGAAAATTTTGTGACATCTTCTCATGTTGCTCTTCTATAATGCCTGGCAGATAACATACTTGAGACTTTAGGCCTGTTTCTTCAAGTCCGAGCTTCGTTCTTTGTCATTCAATGTTAAATCACAAGATAATCTAAACTTGGTGCTTACCGGCACTCAGAGCCGGCAATGGTCACTTTATTCATGCAAAGTACAATCTGCACTTGCGATTTACAACAAGGCCACTGGCTTATGCTAAGATTTTGACTCACTATAGTGGGTTTGATTATATGATATCAACTCACCTTGTTTGTGCTGCCATCTACAAAATTTGGGAGCATTGCCGACACAATTTACAGTTGATAGGCCTGCTTACGTCTGATCCATAAAACTGCCAGCCACATCGTAATGTTCCAGGAATCTAAGCTTTTGTAGTGAATTGAATCACCACTTTCTCAGCCCAATCGGCCCAACCAACATTCGGCTCCTTTCAACCCACAGGCTACATGATGCAGCCCATGCACAAACAACATAATCGTTTCTTTCCTTTTCTTCTTCTTCTTCTTCTTCTTCTTCTTCTTTTTTTATTGATTCATGAAGTTGGAACTTCAAGAAGAGTCCACCAAAATGAAAAGCACGCTAAATTTTAGGTGCAATAAAATAAGATTCTGCGTATCCTCGGGATATATGCAAATAAAATAAAGTTGTTTTTCTATATTTTTAGTTTCCATAGGTAAGACATTGTTCTTTATGTGTCTCAACAGTTATAAATTATGCAAAAATTACAGACTAGACGATCTTAAATGGTTGCGCATGTTGGATTTGAAAACTCTGATCTATTCTTATGGTTTTTGTTATGTATTTTGTTTTTTAGTTGCTAAAAAATAATTGTTATGAGTTAGATCATGTAATCATGTTTAGTTACTATTTTTTTTTAGTTATTTTTATTGTATTTAAGCACGTTTTTATTCAACGAAAACTTGTGAGAGATTTGCCGCCCATTTTCTTGAGTTTTAAGCAATTTTTTATTATATCAATTTTTATTTATTAGTGTTTTTTTTTAAAAAAAAAAAAGCTTTAAAGGCTTTTGTTGCCAATTTTATGATTAAAGTACTATAATTGGTATCAAAGCTTTTTTCTTAATGGACTTGTGAGTGAATCTAAGTAAACCTTCCACTAAAAAGCCTAAATACCTTACTAAAATCAATCAACAAATGATTTAAACTCACCATTCATAGTAGTAGCTCCACCTATCTTTGATGGTGAAAATAATCAAGTTTAGGCAATGATAATAAAGGCCTACTTGGATGCTATTAATCTTTGAAAAGTTGTTGGACATGACTACAAAGTTCCTCCATTGCCTTACAATTTAATAGTTGTTCAAATCAAGAATCACAACGAAAAGAAGCAAACGAAGTTAAAGGCAAAAGTATACATTTTTGCATTTGTCTCACCAACAATCTTCACCAGGATTATGACCTTAAAATCAATAAAAGCCATCTTAGATTTTCTCAAGGAAGAATATGAAGGTGATGAGAGAATCAAAGGGATGCAAGTGTTTGAATTTAATTAGAGAGTTTGAGATGCAAAGCATGAAGGAGTCAAAAACAATCAAGGAGTACTCGACATACTTTTAAGCATTGACAACGGGGTAAGATTGTTTGGTATTGATTGTCATAACCGAAAAAAACCTCCATTTTTATTATTTAAAAAAATTAATAATAATAAAAATAAAATAAAAATACAAAAATGTAAAAGAAAAAAAGGGGATGAGGGAAACAAATTGAAATCTATCCTAATTATGTTTTCAAATTTAGTTTATCTCGGTTGTTTTGTTAATCAAGATCACATTTCAATAAAAGAAGTTGAGTTCAAATTGGACGAGTTAAAAAAATCTGAATTTTAAGGTATTTGATTTAGGATGAAACTTGAATTTGAAAGTGTTTGATTTAAGATGAAACTCAAACTATCGGTGTTTATAAAAGGGCAACATCCCGGGGAGAAAAGGGGGAATTTTTTAGCTTTAAGGGCGGTAGCATTCTTGTGCATTCTGTTTTCCGGCGGTGTTTTTTAGGCTTTTAATTCTAGGCAAATTATTCTTCACTTAAAGGGAATTCATGGTACGAGAAAAAAGAGTTTTGGGTAGATAAGAGAGAGCAAAAAGGGTCAAAAATCGAGTGATTTTGGGGAAAATATTGGCTACATTTTCCGGGTTTTTTAAGGAAGTGTTCTTCATCTCTCGGGTTTTATTTCGTCCATAATTGGCTTCGTTTCTCAATCGATTTTGATTTCTCTAGGTTCATTTACCATCATCCTAGGATTCCTAATCCATATCACCGATCCGCTTTTCTAGGGAAGAACAAGACATCAATACCGTAATCAATTCATTATTTTTAGCCTATATCAATCGGATATCATGTAAATCCAATTTTCAAGCACTCGCAAAGGAATCAAAGATAACAAAGAAGGTGGAACATCCTCATTCAATCAAACCTACAAAATTGACAAGTAAAGACACCAACAAAGTCCAAAATCATCATTTGCTCTTTCGGTTTTGCTCGGGAAATTCAAATAGTATAACACCAGTTCTTGTTAGTTCCTCTCATTTTGTTGAAGCACCACTCGAGTAAATCATCTCCCTCTAATTCTTTTGTTTTTAATTTCCACTAAAAGGATTGCTTTAATATAATAAAAGAGAAAAATGACAATAGTTAGGCTTGGGTTTGGTCGAAGTTGTTCGATTCTTAACGGATAAATTTCATTCGAAAAATTAAGAAATTGAAAGGTAGTTGGTTTTGATGTCCAGGAAGAACGGGAAAAAGGAGAGAAGAAAGAAGAACAAGAAAAAAGGAATTAGGGAAACGGGTGCCAAATGGTGGTCTCGTGGGCTTGGTCTTATTGAGAAGATTTAATAAAAAAAAAACGCGGGTTAGGCTTGGACAAGAAGTCTGGAATTAATTCAGTCCGGACTAACCCCGAGCCCCTCTCCTTTAAAAAAAATGCAAAGAAGAAATCAATCCAGACCCCTCCCAAATTCCCTTTCCCTCTCCTAAAAAAAAATAAAACGAAAAGAAATAAGGCTCGGACCGTAGTCGATCCAACTTCTCCAATATATATATATATATATATAATAAAAAAAGGAGTAAAGAAGAAGAAAAATAATAAAAAATAAAAATAAAATGTTTGGCTATAATCTAGATTTGTTTCTTTATGCTTAGCATTTCGTAATGTTAGATTTTTTTTTTTTTTGCATGCTTAGCATTTTGTATTCAATTTAAACATTTAATTATTTTAATTAATTTAATTTCCATTTTTAATTTGTTGCATGTATTTTAAAATTATCCGTAATTATTTTAATGCAATTTCAACTTTTAACGAAGTCTCCTATCCGATAGGGACCGTCATTTGAAAAATATAAAAGTAATAAAATTCTCAATGAAGTCTCATTCTGCTGGGACTATCGTTTTGTGGAGAGGTCTCCTATTTGATAGAGATCGTCGTCATCAAAAATCATCATTTAATAATCAAGATGTCCTCCGACTGCACTCGGTTGTGTCAAGGCTTAAAGTGGATCCGATGTTTGAATCGATGTATCGCCCGATGGAGGGGACCGATGATTGTTTCAATACGAAGCCACGCCCAACATAAAAAAAACTTAATTTTGCTTTAAAAATTAGAGTTAATAAATCAAAAAATAATTTTACATAAATAAAACATTTTTAGGAGATGAATTTAGGACTAAACTAAACATGGTACCTTTCTTAGGAAAGGACGTCTTTGGGTGATTGATATCTTCCCAAACCGTAACCAACCCCTTACCATAGAATCTTTGAACTAGTGCTACTTTTAGGTTCCTAGTTTCTTAATACTAGGTGGCAACTCCGAACTTAAAAACTAACTTTGTAAATAGGAGGATTTTTTTTTGGAGTCCCATCCGATGTCGGATAGTGACATTGACTTTTTTGACTTTAGAATTATTCAAAAAGTTCTTGTTATGGTCCTTAAGAAAATTGAGGCAATAATTTCTTTATTATAAAATTCTAACGATCTATCAAGTATCACCTTGGCATAATTGCTCAATTCATTATAGGAACAATAGTAAAAAAGGATAATGAGGCAAGAAGGCTCGACAGAAGGAGCCTTACAAGCTAAACTCCAAAGCAATCAAAGCAATCAAAGCAACAAAGTAAGGAAAAAAGAAGGATGAAAAAAAATGCTAATACAAACGAGGCTAGTGCTAATAATAGCGATTGTAATGGCAACTATAAGAAAAATTACGCTCTCTATCGGCATTATAACGACAAAGGTCATCCTCCTTTCAAGTGCTAGATAATGTCGGATGTAAAGTGTAATGAGTGCAACAAAATGGGACATGGGAGGATTTGCAAAATCAATTTCTAGAAAAAGAATGAGGCTCAAGTTGCAAACCAATGGGAAGAGGAAGAACAATCATTTATGGCAACTTGTTTTGGCAAGTAATAACTCAAGTGAGAATTGGCTCATAAACGAGTGGTTGCATCAATCATGTAACTTATGATTAAGAAATTTTTAGGAAACTTGATAGGTCGGAGGTGTTAAGAGTCAAAATTGACAATTGTCGGCATATTGCATAAAAAACAATATTACAGTTATTGAAAGCTACAAGGGCACGAAGCTAATTTTTTATGTTTTATTTGTTCTTGAAATTGATCCAAATTTATTTAAGTATGGGATAGTTGCTTGAGAAGGGCTTTAAAGTATTTTTTTTTAAAGATGAGCAATATCTAGTAAAAAATGTAAGTGATCAAGAAGTGTTTAAAATTAAAATGAGACACAAAAGCTTATCTCTAGATCTAATAAAGGAGGAGCAAGAAACTTATCCTATTTCTATGAATAATGTTGAAACTTGACACAAGAGACTATGTCTTTTTCACCACGATGCAG